CCATTTCTCTCTCTCCCTACGCCTACGAGTAGGCTATAGGCCTGCGTGTACATGGACCGTGGTTTATAGTCCCATCCGAACGTATAGACGCTTTTACTTTGCAGATTCTGTATCCTGTACCACTAACACTGGAAACCAATTTGAACAACAGGGCCCTTATTCACGAAAACTTAAACTAAGATACAATCGAAATTTTAAGAAATACTGCAATTCGATTGGCTGACCAGTAAAATCAGTTTGCATATGTCCAATGAAGTTGCAGTATTTCTTAAAATTTCGATTGTAACTTAGTTTAAGTTTTCGTGAATAAGGGCCCAGATCCACCTTACCTGCAAGCTAGCTACCATTTAGATTTCGAACGTTAGTTACGTACGAGTGCAAACCAGAGTGGAAATCCCTTTGAACATTCCCAGCATACAACAGAGGGACAGAACTCGCGACCCACTAGGCCTACTAGTCATGCAGTGCCTTACCCACGGAGTCTGCCACGGTGACTCTTATCTATCCGGTTCAAGGTATCCTGCATGATATAGCAAATTAAAAGTTAAAGTAGCTAAGTCTCTAACTCAATATCATCCAAAATCCTCCACATTGAAAACACGATTTATTTGTCAAATTAAATCAACATTCATGTTGTGATCTTACCGGAATAAGATGGGCTTTTGATATCCAATATTTAAGACAAAATAAACATTTTACCATTGGTACACGAATCGTTTACCATAATGCGCTTCAGCCCCAGTTGTAAAAAGAGACTCGAGGGACGAGGCTAGACACATTGCACCAAGTCGAACGGCGTATGTAGACTGGAATAACCAGACGCTAGAAATTTGCACTCGATTGAGACTGCTGGCTTATTTCGCCGAACATAACTGATTTGAAATTGGAGTAAAAACGGAAACCATTGAATGTAAATCAGTTTATATACATTCATATTACATTATTATATGCGTTGCGACCCACTTTTGTCAATTTCTAGGTCCCAAATGTTAGCGATTTAGCTCCTTTAAAATGGCTCAGCAATGTGTTGGCCAGTTTGTTTTATACCTTGTATAAAATGTAATGTCCATTAGTGGTGACTGCGTTTTAAACCTTTCATAAAACGTAATGTGACGTCGGCCCCGCCCACCAGTGGTGACTGCATAAACAAATCTCGTTAAATCACATTTTGTCCCTTGACCTCAAAAGTGCTAAGTGTGTTACAGATGAAATGATGTAAAGTTTGTCATGCAAGAAATACAGAGTTTAATAAACTATCGTATACCCACAAGAAGAAGACTTTTAACAAATATTTGCTCTGTTAATCGTAGTTTAATTAAATATCTGATACAATACATCAGTACCAGGGTTATAAATTGTACTAATAAGTGTGATTTTTGTGTTGAATAGCAATTATAAAAAAACAAGTTGTTTTTATGACACTGGAAATATATTAGGCGAGTGATAACGCCATTTTGTTTAAAACTATTTATGAGTGCAGTGGCGTGTGAAATAATGAGCAGGAGTACTGCACACATGACTTTTTAAACGGGCCTGATAATTGCATCTTCCAATGGTTGTTGACCTTAAATTTGCCTGTTTTAATCAGATTGCTGTACCAAGGTATAGGTTTGGCACTAGGTGGGGGGGGGGTGGATGGCTGAATGCATAGCGGTTGCACGTTGTATTATAAAGTCTGTCATTGAGTCAACTGGTGTGGTTTCGAATCCCCGGTTGTATGTGACAAGGAGTAGGGTCGCCTGTCCAACCTCGTGGGTTTTCTCCGGGTCATCCGGTTTCCTCCCACTGCTAAAGACCCCTACGCGCAAGCGAATTATTGAAATAAAATTAAACCATATGTTAGTCCCGAAATGACCTAGTTTGTGTCGAATGGACGTTAAACTCCATTTCTCTCTCTCTCTCTTTGCCACTAGGTAAGTAATATGATTATGATTATAGCATTGGAAACCACATGATTTGTTTTCCATTTGAGAGTTGGCTCAAAAACTCAAGGGGTCGAAAGAACTCTGCGTCCTACCCCCTTCATTTAGGGCCTGCAAGACCCCCAAAGTGTGTATACCCCGGTAATGCCCAGTGTTCTCAATAGTTATATACATGAGCTTTACTGCTGTTATATTGTCAACAAACCCAACTTTCACCAACACTAGATTATTTACATGTACACCCACAAACAGGTTTGGTGAGTTTTGACAATTAAAAACCTATCAAATAATGTTTAGCTTGGTTTGTTCCAGTTTTTCTAGCCCTAAAAATCACCCGAGCATATATGTTTTACGAGCATATTGACTGAACGCCTAAAGGCGGTATGTGCATGCAGGGATTATGTTTTATACACTAAAATCCAATTTGATACGAGTACATTGGCGACATCTTCACCCAAAGTAACAAATATAAACGAGATTGGCCATTGCTTTTAGTTTCCCGAAATGTATATGGCATCACAGAGACCAAATGTTTATTAGGAATGTGTATTCATCTAGAATTCACTGTAGAATATTATTTTCCAAATAACATGTTTATATTCAATGACAAGACGATATTAGTGAACTATTAACTTTTTTCTGCCTCAAATAGTGTGTGTTTTATTAACTTGATCTATAAACAATTAAAACCTAAGGGTGGCATTTAAAGTTGCAATTTCATATTTTTACGTTATATTTTTAAAATTTATTAAAATAAAGCCTTGAAATAAATGGTATCTATAAACAGCCCTACCTTGTTAAAGAATAATCCTATTAATCCTATAATTCACTATTGCCAGTTCAGAAATTGGCAAAAATATCATTTTCCTCTTCAAATTCAAACGTTTGAGGATAGCTACTCCATGGTGGAGAATAGAAAACAAGGGAGGTAATTGGGAGGTAATTGTGTTATTATTTCCGGTGTAAATGAGTTTTAAGTGTGAGAATGACACCTATGATCGTATAATAGTGAGTTGACAACCTATTGAGCAAAAGACATAGACAAAATTATGTTTTGACTTTCTTAGAAAGTATGAAATTGTAACTTAAAAAAAAAAAAGATATCCACGCCAACCGAGGAAATTCGCCCACACAGCAGCTTTGTCTCACAGACAACAGTTTATCCCGGAGGAAAAATGGGTTTACCAAATTTGATAAGGATGCCCCCAAGAAATCTAATCACTTCGAAAAAACTGTAGCCTCTATAGCGTCCACAGACCTTTAGGGAAAGGAGAGATAATTCTGGAACACCAGGTTCTCTCATCAAGCCCAAATTGAAAAGAATCGTTAAAAACTGTGGCAATTATCGCCTTCACAAGCTAATTGTTGACGGACGGACGGACGACATACTACGTATAAAAAATAATGTTTTGTAGTGAAGTGGATGGGAAAAAACGTATTTCTAGGTGTTTATTTTATGTAGTTAGAGTACAATTTACACAACTTAAATAAAATTTTCTCGTTATCACTTGAAGACAGTACAAGCACAATATGTCTAACACATGAAAGAAAGCAATACATCGGTACGTTATTCATAACCAGTCAAGAATGTATATTATCATTTAATCGTGTGAATAGCATGTACATGCAAGTCCAGGGTATATATATATATATATATATATATATATATATATATATATATATATATATAAGCGCGTTGTATTACCTTTATTCTTATCTTATATAAAGCTACCTGAATAGAGTTTTATTACAGGTATTGCAATCTTAAATAGCTACCTGAATATATTAAAACACTGTCAATGACTAAAGTCTGGTATTACATAGTGATTGTCTATTGGGTCGTCTAAATACATTATCTAAATCTGCCTTAAATGGTTTTATATTCGATTGCCATTTAATAACTTAATTTAAAAATGGACAAGATAGACTTTGTCTCGATTTAATATATTCATTTTTCATAATCTATTTTTGAACTATTATAGCAGAAACGTCCGACTCTGTTTCATATTTGCAACTATGGAAGTGTTTGTAAATTGCGTTCACAAATAAAGCATATCCCCTGTTATGCAATTTAATTAAAATTATATGTCTTTGGCATCACCTAGCAATCACATACCTAAAATATCACAAGAATCAAATCGCTAATATCTGAAACATCCCAATCTACAATTAACTAAGATCAGTGACATCACAGCCTATAACCAGCTTAGATCTGGGGCACAGCAATGAAACAACCCTTATCTGAGACATCACAGTCCACAAACACCTTAGATCTGAAACAACTCTTATCTGAGACATCACGAACAACTATCTTAGATCTGGGGCATCACAGTCTACAACTACCTTTGATCCGAAACAACTCGTATCTGAGACATCACACAGCCTACAACCAGTTTAGATCTGATAAATCATTACTATAGATCTAGAACATCACGACAATCAAACAACTTATATCTGAAACATTACGACCTACAAACATCTTAGATCTGAGACATCTCAACAATCCCCAGAACAACTTGTATCTGAAACATTACGACCTACAACCACAGTAGATCTGAGACATCCCAACAATCCTCAAAACAACTTATATCTGAAACATTACGACCTACAGTCACCTTAGATCTGAGACATCACAACAATCCTCAACACATCTTATATCTGAAACATTACGACCCACAGCCATCTTAGATCTGAGACATCGCAACAATCCTCAACACATCTTATATCTGAAACATCGACCTACAGCCATCTTAGACCTGAGACATCACAACGATCCTCAAAACATCTTATATCTGAAACATCAAACACAACAATTAAAGACTTCTTATCTGAGACAGCATCGCTTATAATCAGCTTATGTTAGACATATGTAATTCTCTGTGGATTGTGTTTTTGTGCTTTTTTTTATTGAGTTTCCTCCCACTGCTAAAAACCCCTACGCGCAAGCGAATTGTTGAAATAAATCTGAACCTTGTGTTAGTCCCGAAATGTCCTAGTTTGTGTCGAGTGGACGTTAAACACCATTTCTCCCTCTCTGTTTGTTTTATTGATTTGTGTTATATTTTGATTTTATTTCAGTCATCATGTCGAAACAGAGGAAGTATAAATGGCTTTTTCTTGGCTGGAAGAAGTATGCACTGGATCCCGGTAAGGAAACATAACTTATTTAAACAATCTGATTAAAACGCAGATCCTATCCTATTTCGTTTCGTTTTTTATAGCTCAAAGTTCTGTTTTACTTCTCTTTACTACACTAGGATCTGGAAGAGTTGTTATCATTGACGTGTTCTGGATGATGCGAGGGATTAGCCGATTAGCCAAAGAAACGGTCTGTTACGGCGATCTTTTGGCCTGTAATACACTAGAAACATCAATGCTGATTGGTTAATCAAATATCTGACGCCATAGGGTCAAAAGCCGTTCGTATGACCTCTGACGCGACCTCCCAATACAACTGGTCAGATCTTTATGTAGTGTAGGCCATCGAAAGTATAAAAAAAAACGAAATATAGATCTGTATTTTTATCAGATATTTATTTTAAAAAAAGCAAAACAAGAAATATAAAAGAGGACAATTCATATAAATATTGATTTCTATATTCTTTATGAATAGTTCTTGTATAATATTGTCTTGTACTGCTATATTCCATTAACCTGGAGGCGGCACGGTGGATCAGTGAGTAACATGCTGGATCACTAGCCTGGAGGTCACTGTTTCGATACCGGTGATGGCCTGACAAGGACAGATGTCTAGTCGTTCGGATGGTACGAAAACCGAGGTCACGTGCACACATTGATCCCTTGGCAGTTGGACATCGATATAAGAGTAGGCCGTAGCACAGCTGTCCGGGCAAAATTCCCCTCATAACACACTGCATTAGCCCAGTCGGAGCAAAACAGTAGGACGTTAAACCCCATTTCATTTCATTTCATTAACCTAGATAATTTTAAATATCTGTTACGTCTTTGGTGATATGGAGATTTTGGGTTGTCTAGTGGTTTAACGAGTGTGCGTGAAACCATAAGGTCTGCCATTGAGTCCAGGGAGTAGGATCGCCTGGTCAACCTCGTGGGTTTTCTCCAGGTCCTCCGGTTCCATCCCACTGTTAAAGACCCGTAAAAGCAAGCGAATTATTGAAATAAAATTGACCATAACCCAGTCAGTTTTGCGTGGACGTGTTAAATCCCACTTTGCAAGGTAAATCTAAATTGTGTGAACACTTTTATATTTTACTACTTTCGGGTACCTCGGTGGTTCTGTTAGGAAGGCGTAAAAAAAACCGTGACAGTTGGAATTTGAATAAGAGTACGCTGTAGCGCCACTGTCAGGGCAAAACTTCAGTAGGACGTTAAACCCAATTGTATTTTTTTACTACTTTCGAAATGGCCAAGTTTATAACTATAGCGTATTTGTCTCATTGGTAAATGGGTGTCAGAAATAGATAATTAGTAAATTAATTAGATACACACGGGTCAAGGGTAAGTTCATCAAACGATATGTAAATAACTAATTAGCATATTATGTATAGGATATTTATATTCACGCTCAGGCTCTGTACATATATCTTTAACAAACTCGTACAACCGTAGTACAATACCAATGACCCAATATATACGATACTTGTACAACCATATATAGTAGGCTATAATACCCATGACCCAGTATATATATATACCATACTCAGGTGTTATAGTATAATGTTTCTGTACTTTTACCTACAGGTCAGTGGAAGGGCTAGAATTTGTGACGCGCGTGGTGGTCCTTGAGATTGTCCCCTCCTCGCTCGCACCGAAATCCACAACACAATACATAACAAATATACTTAAACTATTAAACAAAATACGGGTTTTCGTGGGAAAAGAGTTAATCTCGTCCCCATCTTCTGAATTGAATGCCTAGAAAGCCACAATCATTACTATACGGGGGGTTGGATGGCCGAATGGCCGAATGGCCGAATGGTTAGCACGTGCGCGCTGCGCTGTATCGCAAGGTCTGTCATTGAGTCAACTGGCGGGGTTTCGATTCCCCGGTTGTACGTGACAAGGAGTAGGATCGCCTGTCCAACCTCGTGGGTTTTCTCCGGGTCCTCCGGTCTCCTTCCACTTCTAAAGACCCCTACGCGCAAGCGAATTATTGAAATAAAATTAAACCATGTGTTAGTCCCGAAATGACCAAGTTTGTATCGAGTGGACATTAAACCCCATTTCTCTCTCGCTCTCTCTGAAACAATTAAGCAAATAATGTATCGTTTCTGAATAAATCAATTTATTTGCAAGTACCATATTTTATTTATCTGTATAATATTATATTGTGTCATCATTATTTGCCAGTGATGTAAAAATGGTTCTTCATAATTTCAGATTGGCGCCTCCTTGTTTGCTAGTAATATTGGTAGTGGCCATTTTGTCGGATTAGCAGGATCTGGCGCCGCTGGTGGAATTGGTATTGCTGTATTTGAACTTAATGTAAGTCGGTCAAATCATTAAAAAAAAATTGAAAATTCCTAATAATAAGTGATATCCAAGAAGTATTAGAACTAGTAAGCATACCCCGCCTTGTACCCGACCGTGGTGCCATTCTTCTCTGCTTGCAGCTCTCACCTTCAGATTGGGCTCTTAATGTAACCGTATCTGTATTATATTCTAATTTATGACTTTGACTCTTTTCATACATGGTAAACTTAAATCTCTAAAATCGACAATTCTTAAAATCGGCACCCTGATTTCATTCTGAACTGTCGTGTTTAAAATCGGTTCTTGATTACATTGTGAATTACTGTTTTTAAAATCGGTACTTGGTTACCATTGTGAGTTGCAATTCTTAAAATTAAATCTAACACAATCAATGATTTAAATTACATCTATTAAGGAGATTCATGGTTAAAAAGATAGCCACGGGTTTCGAGATGGTTTTTTTTCCCTAACAACGTTTTAATGTATCAGTTGATTACAGCTCTGAGCAACGAGGGGGGGGGGGTGTTGGGTGTTCTCAGAGGAGCTGTAAAATTGACGGACACTGTATGTCTAGGTTTTTTTTATGGTCGACAAATTTTTCACGGGGAGTGGGGGGGGGGGGGCGAAACGTTTTGCGTGGGGGGGGGGGGGGGCTGGTTGACTAATGTCCGCCCTTTATGTATCCTTTCAGACGAGCTTCCATTCTTAAAATTACTACTTTAAATAAATCTCCATTTAAGAAGATCAAAGTTTTCATGGTGTATTTTTAGGAACTAACAAACTAGAATAAGTTAATTATTCTCTAACCTTGATATATTTCAGGCCATCTTTATATTAATGATATTAGGATGGATTTTTGTTCCTGTTTATACAGCTGCCGGTGTAAGTTTCCATTTTATAATAAATCGGTTATTGGATTATTGGTTTATTATTGTCAAGCTCCAGTAGTTACCTTGATCCTCCAACTTAAAACCTATAAATATAAAACAACATATTGGCTAACTGCTCTTAGCAAGCGTGGCTCCCCATACAATGGAATGGTTACTGTTCTGGGCCTGTTTCACGAAATTTTAACTAAGATAAAATCCAAATTTTAGTAATTTGATTGGATAATATTAGGTTGATTTTAGTGCTTAGCCAATCAAAATTGAAGTATCTACTAAAATTTGGATTTTATCTTTAGTTAAAATTTCGTGAAACAGGGCCCTGTTTATTGTATGGGGAGCCACGCCTATTAAGAGAATGTGCCAATGGTTCACTATTCGTGAAATGGTAAATAAATATAAAAGAACATTCTATCTTATCAGGAGCCACGTTTGCTCATATTCCTGAAGCAATGGCCCGAGAAATCCCTCTTTGAGTGGGATTAGGTCTAATCAAACGAAAGACTGAGAGGAGTATGAGTATGGCTTTGAGTTACTATCCAGGAGATCCCAAGTTCGATCCTTGGGATCTTCCGGCCTTGTCAGTGATAAAGGACGAAGTGTCCAACACGAAACCGGCTCTGACATCCCGTGTACATCATCGAAACTACGTTAAGTTAAAGATCCCTGTTGGAAATCGAAGTAAGAGTAGACAGCTGTATAGGGTGAAACCTGGTGTGTGTGTGTGGGGGGGGGGGGGGCGTGAAGTCACAAGGTCTGTCATTGAGTCAAATGGTGTGGTTTTGATTCCTCGCTTGTACGTGACAAGGAGTAGATTGGCCTGTCCATCCTCATGGGTTTTCTCCGTGTCCTCCGGCCAACCTCCCACAAAGACCCCTAGCTGCGCACAGGCGAATTATTGAAAAAAAGAATTGAACCATCTGTCCTGAAATGAGCCAGTTTGTGTCGAGTGGACACCCCATTTCTCTCTCTCTTTCTTATTTTGGGGAACACTACATTTTTTTATATACAAAATCTGTTATTTCTCTGACTTATTTAAACATAAAGTCTCCCCTGACTAAAGTCCCTGGTTGTATAAGTTTTGAATATTGTATTATTATAGCTACCCGAGGTTATTGCCCCAGATACGATTGTTTAATGTAAAACTAAAAAGATGATACCTCGACTTGAAGGAGTATTAAAGGCCAATAGTAATAAAATACCATGGCAAACTGAACAATGAAAATACTGTATACTTAGTAATGCAAAACAACTAAATAGATTTGTTCTGTAGGTCAATGGCGTGTGCCGTATATTAATTATACTGGGTTTATCTTCAAAGGCACGATAAGACGCAAGAGTGTTCACATAAATGTACAAAATGAAATGAAATGAAATGGGGTTTAACGTCCTACTATTCTGCTCAAAACTGGTCAAATGAAAACGGGCATACGCCATACAGTGTGATATGAGGGAAATTTTACCCGGACAGCGGCACTAAGGCCTACTCTTATATCGAATTCCAACTGTCACGGGACCAGCGAAGTTATCACTGAAGTTTTAACAGTATGTGGCACTGATTAGTATAGTTCTGGTTATTCGAGACTCAGCCTTGCTTCTCCATTTTTTAAATTGTATCATTAAATAGCCGAAGCGTCCTAATCTACTTAAAATCGGAGCGACCCGATGTCCTAGGGAGTTGATTATGGGCTTGTCATGTTAATACTTGTGAATAAATGTCTAAATAATAGTTTATATAAGATTTGAAGCCAAAATAAGACCTGCAATAGGCAAATATATCTCTTGCACAATGTATCTTTAATAATCGATGTTAAATATGGCGTGAGGCGGGCGCCAGTGATTTGTTTTCAGACATGTTAACGAAAATTATCCTATATTTTCTTTAGGTATATACCATGCCAGAATATTTACGGAAGAGATTTGGAGGACAAAGAATCAGAATTTATTTGTCTGTTTTAGCTCTTCTGTTGTATGTTTTCACAAAAATATCGGTAATTATAATAATTTTATAATAGCATCGGGTGTGGCAAGGGACAAATGGGTAGTGTGTGTGGCGAGTGCAGGATGAGTTGGAAGAGAGACGAATGTAGGATGGGTGTGGTGAGAGACGAATGCAGAGTGGGTGTGGTGAAAGACGAATGCAGAGTGAGTGTGGTGAGAGACGAATGCAGAATGGAATGAGTGTGGTGAGAGACGAATGCAGAGTGGATGTGGTGAGAGACAAATGCAGAGTGAGTGTGGTGAGAGATGAATGCAGAGTGGATGTGGTGAGAGACAAATGCAGAGTGAGTGTGGTGAGAGATGAATGCAGAGTGGATGTGGTGAGAGACAAATGCAGAGTGAGTGTGGTGAGAGATGAATGCAGAGTGGATGTGGTGAGAGACAGATGCAGAGTGAGTGTGGTGAGAGATGAATGCAGAGTGAGTGTGGTGAGAGATGAATGCAGAGTGGATGTGGTGAGAAACAAATTCAGAGTGAGTGTGGTGAGAGATGAATGCAGAGTGGATGTGGTGAGAGACAAATGCAGAGTGGATGTGGTGAGAGACAAATGCAGAGTGGATGTGGTGAGAGATGAATGCAGAGTGGATGTGGTGAGAGACAAATGCAGAGTGGATGTGGTGAGAGACAAATGCAGAGTGGGTGTGGCGAGAGACGAATGCAGAGTGAGTGTGGCGAGAGACAAATGCAGAGTGAGTGTGGCGAGAGACGAATGCAGAGTGGATGTGGTGAGAGACAAATGCAGAGTGGATGTGGTGAGAGATGAATGCAGAGTGGATGTGGTGAGAGACAAATGCAGAGTGAGTGTGGTGAGAGACAAATGCAGAGTGGATGTGGTGAGAGATGAATGCAGAGTGGATGTGGTGAGAGATGAATGTAGGATGGGTGTGGTGAGAGACGAATGCAGAGTGAGTGTGGTGAGAGACACACGCAGAGTGAGTGTGGTGAGAGACGAATGCAGAATGGAATGAGTGTGGCGAGAGACGAATGCAGAGTGGATGTGGTGAGAGACGAATGCAGAGTGAGTGTGGTGAGAGACGAATGCAGAGTGGATGTGGTGAGAGATGAATGCAGAGTGGATGTGGTGAGAGACAAATGCAGAGTGGATGTGGTGAGAGACACACGCAGAGTGGATGTGGTGAGAGACACACGCAGAGTGGATGTGGTGAGAGACACATGCAGAGTGAGTGTGGTGAGAGATGAATGCAGAGTGGGTGTGGCGAGAGACGAATGCAGAATGGGTGTGGCGAGAAAAGATTGCAGAGTATGTGTGGCGAGAGACGAACGTAGAGTGTATGTGGCGAGACACGAATGCAGAGATGGTGTGCCGAAGGACGAATCCATAGTGGGTGGTGTGCATAGATACATTTACAGATTGAGTGTTGCGAGACAAATGCAGAGAGGGTGTGCCTAAGTTGTCTAGGTGACATTTATTAATTGAACAGTAACACACTAACACTATTTATGGAATAACAATTACTGGTTTATTAACATGCAACGTTTCGACGATGATACTTTCGTTTTTAGCAAGCAAATGATAGACGATAAAGACGAGAGTATCATCGTCGAAACTTTGCATGTTAATATACCAGTAATTGTTATTCCATAATAGTGTTAGTGTGTGTGCCGAAGGACGAATTCATAGTGGATGGTGTACCTAGATACGATTACAGAAAGGGTGTGGCGAGAGACAAATGCAGACAGGGTATGCTGAGGGACGAATCCAGAGTGGATGGTGTGCCTAGATACGATTACAGAAAGGGTGTGGCGAGAGACAAATGCAGACAGGGTATGCTGAGGGACGAATCTAGAGTGGAAGGTGTATCTAGATACGATTACAGAAAGGGCATGGCGAGACAAATGCAGACAGGGTATGCCGAGGGACGAATCCAGAATGGGTTGTATACGAACAAAGAATGAGTTTGGGGAGAGACGAATGCAGGGTGGGTGTGACGAGACAGGCACGATTGAAACAACATTTGGCCAGACTCTCCATAAATGGCTCTGGTGTAGACCAACTAAACTTATAACCAAATTTGAATTAGAAGTGGTTCGGGGGGAGGGGGGGGGGGTGTTCGTAATATAAATGGATTTTTATTGAAAATTATATTATCTTTTAATTAAACAGGCTGATCTGTATTCTGGTGCTATATTTTTAACTCAAGCTTTACCGGAACTTAATTTATACGTGGCTGTTATAATTTTACTGGCTGTAGCTGCTCTCTTCACCATTGGAGGTAAGTGATAATCGGTTTAATCTATTTGATAAGGCCAACTTCAAGTTTGGTCACAGGTCACGAGAGGTAAACTGGGCTAGCGCTAATGCCATCCCTAACACTAACCCTGGATCCAGCCCCAAATGCTAAACCTAACCCTAACCTACAACGTCGCCAACAGTCACGTGCCCTAACCTTATTTACATCTCAGCAACCGTGACGAAAATTGAACTGGCCTTAACAAATAGATTTAGCCGTGATACTCAGCACCGGACTTAGGATATAAGCAGCTTTGTACAGAGTATATTGTACGCCCCACCATCACCACCCGGGCCCGTATCTACAGGGGGCGCGGGGGGGGGGGCATGTCCACCCCGCGTGAAATGCTCGCCCCCCCACTCAGAAATTGCTAAAAATCATTAAAGTATACACAGTTCCTTATATTAACCTAAAAAAAACTACGCTTCCCTAAGCAGAAGGAGGTATAATTCAGGCGACTATGCGCTATTAATCCCACGGTATCTCATTACTTTATAAACCATTTTTTTTGTACTAATCTAAAATAGTTTTAAATAAATTTAAAAAATCACGATTTTTTGTTTGTTTGAATACTTATTTTAAAATGCTTATTAGCCGCCTAGGTAACTACATAGCATGATGATTACAACAGTCTGTTAGAATGACCTTTCCGAAAATTTCCTCAAAATGTTCGCCCCCCTACCGAAAGGTAATGCCCCCCCGCTTAATGGTGTCTAGATACGGGCCCGTCACCACCACTACCACTATAAGTGCAATTTTAAAGGCACGCTGAAACATTAAATTGTGGATATCAATACAACCTTATTATAACGTCAAAGGGTAGATAACGTTATATCATCCATGATGTAACAATGTAAATAACGTAATATTCATGAGGTTATTATCCTTGTATTAAGTCTTTTTTCTTTTCTATATAAAACCAGGGTCGTAACTAGCTCGGAGCAACGAGGGGGGCGGGAAGTGTTCTCGGGAGGTGCTGTAAAATTGACGGAAAAAATGTATGGTTATATTATATTGTTGGATGGCCGAATGGTTAGCGCGTCTGTCATTGAGTCAACTAGTGTGGTTTCGATTCGCCGATTGTACGTGACAATCGCCTGTCCAACCTCATGGGTTTTCTCCGGGTCCTCCGGTTTCCTCTCACTGCTAAAGACCCCTGCGTGCAAGCGAATTATCGAAATAAAATTGACCATATGTTAGTTCCAAAATGATTTGGTTTGTGTCGAGTGGACGTTAAACTCTCTCTCTCTCTCTCTCTCTCTCTCTCTCTCTCTCTCTCTGTTATAACAGGTAATTATAGGTGTTTTATTACAGGTGGTTTAACGGCTGTAATTTGGACAGATTTTATACAAACTATCATCATGTTAGTGGGAGGATTTATTCTCATGATAATGAGTAAGTTTTCTTATTTGTATTCTAATACGCCGATATGAAAGTCAAATATAGAGACATTTTAAAATGGTCTTTCAAGTTACATTTATGCTATAAAATCAGTTTTATTACAGATTAGTCAAAAACACAATAGATTATAACCAATAGTCAAAAATCCAATGGACTAATTCGGCAACGTTAAAAAATAATAAGCAAGTGAACGCTCTAACACAGAAAATTAAAATCCAATGGACGATCTCCGTCACATTAGGCAATAAGTACTTGAACTCTACAACACTGAACATCAAAATCCAATACCCAACCTCTTCCACATTAAGCAATAATTACGTGAACGCTCTAACACTGAAAAGCCGTATACAGAGAATTGGTACAAGGTGTTCATTACATTTGAAAAAAACAAATATGTTAAGCATACATTGCCTATTGCAGGTCTCTCTTTCGACCTTAAATGTTATATAAATTATTAATTAGACATTTATTAACATGACAAGACCATAATCAATTCTCGATGCCATCTGATGGGTACGATGTCAAACAGATTTGAATCTGCATAGCTAACCGTAAAAATGGATAATCAAGACTTTGTTTATTTTCGTAATTACGGTAACAATGACAATGAAGGCTACGTTTTTTTTATTTGAAATTCGGGTTTCTCGACTCAGAGTGACGTAATTTGACTGAAATTTTCGGCATATTCTCTTTACGTTATTTATCTAATCTTTGAAGAAGGGGATCACGTGGCTAAGTGGGTAAGACGCTGGCTCGCTTGCCTGGAGGTCGGGTGTTCGATCCCTGCATTGGCCGAGAAAGTTCATCCAGATTTTCCGGCGTGGTTCCTCCTTGTAGGTGATGCAGGACGGAGGGCCTGACAAGGACAGCTGTCTAGTCGTTCGGATGGTACGAAAAACCGAGGTCCCGTGTATATATTGGAATGCACGTAAAAGTTCCTCTGGCATTTGGAATTCGATATAAGAGTAGGCGATAGTGCCGCTGCCCGGGCAAAATTTCACTCATAGCACACTGTATGACATATCCCTGTCTTCATTAGCCCAGTTCGGAGCAGAACAGTAGGACGTTAAACTCCATTTCATTTCATTTCATTTCATCTTTAAAGAAAAGCAACATTGTATACATTATTTTCTCTATTTTCTCTAGGTTTTATAAAAGTTGGAGGATATGAGCGATTGGTAAAGGAGTATTTTGAGGCATGGCCAAACACGACTAAAATACATAAAGGGTTGCCTAACGATAATTATAGTTATACCGATTGTGGTATACCACCAGCCAATTCCATGAACCTGATCAGAAGTGCTGAAGATGGTTCCCTCCCTTGGCCTGGAATAATGTTTGGTTTAACCATTTCATCAGTCTGGTATTGGTGTTCTGATCAGGTACGTAACAAAGATTCACATGGATAAAATACTTTAGATGATAAAGCCTGCCTTAAATCTGTAATAGTAGTCTGCCTATATTGGGAAGGGGGGGGGGGGATAGCCGAATAGTTAGCCCGTGCGCGCTGTATCATAAGGTCTGTCATTGAGTCTACTGACGTTGTTTCGATTCCCCGGTTGTACGTGACAAGGAGTAGGGTCGTGGGTTTTCTCTGGGTCCTCCGGTTTCCTCCCACTGCTAAAGACCGCTACGCGCAAGCGAATTATTGAAATAAAATTAAACCATGTGTTAGTCCCGAAATAACATAGTTTGAGTTAAGTGGACGTTAAACCTCATCTCTCTCTCCCCCCCTCTCTCTCTCTCTCTCTCTCTCCAAATAGAAAGTGTCTTGCCTTGCATTCATGGTCCAAAATATTTATTAATAATCCTGATAATAAACAGCCGGGACCGTCTACTAGCCAATGAAAGCATACAATACAAACTGCGATAGTTAAATGCTGTACATTAATAACGGGGTTCGTTAAAGTAGAGTCAGTCGCTAACCTGGAAGTCCCGTGTTCGATCCCGGTGTTGGTCGAGAAAATTCATCAGGATTCTGCGGAGTGGTTCCCATTGGTGCAGGATGGAGTGTCTGGCAAAGGAAACGTATATGCGTCCGGACAAAACTTACTTAGCGCAAGCGGTGCAGAACAGTAGGACGTTAAGCCCCGTTGCCACAAGAATCCTTGCCTGGACATTTCCGGGGTTCTTCTTGCCTCATGCCGTCCCCTTCAAAGATGAAAGTGAGTGCTGAATTTGACAAACCCAGGACATACTAGTCCGCTCGTCCCATGTGTCCCATTCAAAGTTTAAAGAGGATGCTAAGTTTGTGAATCTAATGGCACTCTTGTCATGTTACTACAATAAAATCAAACATTCTCAATAAAATCAAACATCTCAAACATTCTCAATAAAATCAAACATTCTCAATAAAATCAAACATCCTCAATAAAATCAAACATCTCAAACATTCTCAATAAAATTAAACATTCTCAATAAAATCAAACATCCTCAATAAAATCAAACATTCTTTATAAAATCAAAAATCCTTAATAAAATCAAACATTCCCAATAAAATCAAACATTCTCAATAAAATCAAACATTTCCAATAAACTGTTGAAATGACATCTCGTTTTTTATAGTTCATAATTTCGTTTTACTTGTCTAAAAGTATACAAAAAGTGGAAAAAAATATAAATCGGTATTTTAATAAGATTGATGACATTTAGAACTATGGTTAACTTTTCACAAAAAGGGAAAATATGGATTTAAAATACAGATGTGACGTCACCCTTTGATGTTGGCGTACCATTATTTTAAATAATCGTACGGGCAACTTGCTAATCGTACATTATTTATACTAGTGGAATATTGGACTCGCGTGACGTATTTGACTATTTTAAGTCGTTTAATGGTATCGAGCTTAAGACATTGCGTAATATATTGTAAAGACACTCGAGCCTACGGCCCTGTTGTTGTTACAATATATTGCCTAATGTCTCACTCTCGACCATTAAACAATACATAACTACTTCTCTGATATTTAATAAAGATGTTACGCTAACACTGTATAGCTCACGTGTTCAAGTTAATGACAAATACGACCATGCATTCTCAATAAAATGATTTTTAAAGCTACAATTTCATATTTTTAAGTTATATTTTTAAAATTTATTAAAATAAAGCCTTAAAATAGATGGTATCCATAAACCGTCCTACCATGTTAAAGAATAATCATATTAATCCTATAATTCACTATTGCCAGCTGTGAAATTGGCAAAAATATCCATTTTCAACTTCAAATTCCAACGTTTGAAGGTAGCTAATGCATGGAGGCAATAGGAAAACAAGGGAGGTAATTGTGTTATAATTTCCTGTGTCAATGATTTTTAAGGGTGGGAAATAATGCCCATGGTCGAATAATAGTGAGTTGATAACCTATTGAGCAAAAGACATAGAAATAATTATGTTTTGACTTTCTTAGAAAATATGAAATTCTCGCTTTAACTATACAATGTCACGTTTTTGTTGTCATTCAGGTCATTGTCCAGAGAGCTCTCGCCGCCAAGAACTTGTCTAATGCTAAAGCTGGAACCATACTTGCTGGTTATTTGAAATTCTTGCCAATGTTCTTGATTGTATTCCCTGGAATGATCTCCAGGATTCTCTTTACTGGTAAGTTTACTGACGGAAACACGAAGTTTACTGACGGAAACACGAAGTTAACTGACGGAAACACGAAGTTTACTGACGGAAACACGAAGTTTACTGACGGAAACACGGAAACACGAAGTTTACTGACGGAAACACGAAGTTAACTGACGGAAACACGAAGTTTACTGACGGAAACACGAAGTTAACTGCTATAATATCAGATGAGAAACATATTTCTATGATGGTACAGGCAAATATTGTGGCATTTATCTTACCCCGTAGTCTGACAAATAGTAGCAGTGGTCATTAACAGGCGGGGGTGGTTAGCACGTGCGCGCTGTATCATAAGGTCTGTCATTTAGTCAACTGGCGTGGATTCGATTCCCCGGTTGTACGTGACAAGGAGTAGGGTCGCCTGTCCAACCTCGTGGGTTTTCTCCGGGTCCCCCGGTTTCCTCCCACTGCTAAAAACCTCTAAGCGGAAGCGGATTATTGAAATAAAATTGAGCCTTGTGTTAGTCCCGAAATGACTTAGTTTGTGTCGAGTGGACGCTAAACCCAATCTCTCTGAAGCCTGTCCATATTGGCATGAGAGTAGATGAGAGCTCGGGCTGTTCATTCGTGGGCCTTGACTGTGTAATTTTGCACATGGGATACGCAAACTTTTCAGACTGCTTAATCTCTATGTAACCGAAGAAGAAACATTACACCAAGGCTGTGTACTACGACCCTAAAGACACAGTTCGTTTATATAGTATTGTAATACAGCCAAGTATTTTGAGGTGCGCTTCAGCCCAATCTGAGCAGAACAATAGAACGTTAAACTCCATTATTTCTGTTGTTTCAGAAATGAAATGGGGTTTAACGTCCTACTGTTCTGCCCCGAACTGGGCTAATGAAGACGAGCATACACCATACAGTGTGCTATGAGGGAAATTTTGCCTGTACAGCGGCACTACGGCCTACTCTTATATCGAATTCCAACTGTCAAGAGATCTTTTACGTGCACGCCAATGTGTACACGGGACCTCGGTTTTCCATCCCATCCGAACAACTAGACAGCTGTCCTTGTCTGTCACTCAGTCCAGATGAATTAGGTTGTGCTGATGCACTTGAGACCAATCGGCGCAAAACAGTAGGACGTTAAGTTTCATTTTATTTCTACCCTTTCAGATACGGTAGGTTGTGCTGATCCGGACATATGTGAACAAGTCTGTGATAGTCGCTCTGGTTGTACTAACATCGCCTATCCTACACTCGTGTTAGAGATTATGCCTCCTGGATTACGAGGATTGATGTTGGCTGTGATGATGTCAGCTTTAATCTCCTCCCTGACTTCTATCTTCAACTCGAGCAGCACCATCTTCACCATGGATATATGGAGAAGAATCAGAAAGGGGGCCACAGAGGTGGAGCTTATGATAGTTGGAAGGTATAGTTGTTATTTAGTGAATATGGGGTGAGAGTGGCGAGACATTGATTCCCCGCTTGTTTTATGTTTGAGAGTGTGTGTAATAATAGATGTGATTTGTTTTGTGTGAGAGTGTGTGTTATAATAGATGTATTTCGTTTTGTGTTTGAGAGTGTGTGTGATAATAGATGTTTTGTGTTTGAGAGTATGTGCTATGATAGATGTAATTTGTTTTGTGTTTGAGAGTATGTGTAATCACAGATGTTATTTGTTTTGTGTTGTATGTGTAATGACATATGTAATTTGTTTTGTATTTGAGAGAATGTGTAATGACAGATGTAATTTGTTTTTGTTATATGTGTAATCACAGATGTAATTTGTTTTGTGTTGTATGTGTAATCACAGATGTAATTTGTTTTGTGTTGTATGTGTAACCACAGATGTAATTTGTTTTGAGAGACAATGTGTATTGACTGATGTAATTTGTTTTGTATTATAGAGTATGTGTATTGATATTGGTAGCAGTGAGTATAGCCTGGATACCTATAGTACAGAATATATCAGAATTATTTCACTATATACAAGCTATAACTAGTTATCTAGCACCACCGGTCTGTTCTATCTATGTCCTCGCTATCTTCTGGAAGCGAACCAATGAACAGGTTAGTCTATATTTTAAAATGATACACTTACACAGATGCGTCATCCAGCTGAAAGTCGCCTTAGGCCCCTTAACAACTATACGGTTATTTATTTTGATTGTAAAACTGGGTGGGGCATTGTGATATGGTGATATTTTGACTTTAATAATGCAATCTCAGTCAATTTTATACTCCTTTTTTACGTCAGTCATTTTGTATCCCCTCTCCCACACCCCTACCACACCACTGGTCCTAACTTTATATACACTTTAATAATACAATCTCAGTCAATTCTATATTCGCTTTTTCAGCCGAGATATCGTACACCCCACAACCTCCCACCACCACTCCACTGGACTGGGGGGATCACTTGGCTAAGTGGGTAAGACACTGGCTCGCTAGCCTGGAGGTCGGGTGTTCGATCCCTGCATTGGCCGAGAAAGTTCATCCAGATTTTCCGGCGTGGTTTCCCCTTTTTAGTGATGCAGGACGGAGGGCCTGACAAGGACAGTTGTCTAGTGCAGGATGATACAAAAAACCGAGGTCCCGTGTATATATTGGAATGAACGTAAAAGATCCCCTGGCAGTTGGAATTCGATATAAGAGTAGGCGATAGTGCCGCTTCCCGGGCAAAATTTCCCTCATAGCACACTGTATGAAGTATGCCCGTCTTCATTAGCCCAGTATAGGAGCAGAACGGTAGGACGTTAAAACCCATTTCATTTCATTTCCACTGGACTGGTCCTAACCTTCTTTATACGCTCAAATGAAAGCTACAGATTTATGGATGCTTAGCGTCCATCTTACTCCATCTACATAACATAAACATTAAATTGTCGAATACATAAGGTCACTTCTTATAATTTTAACATAACCTTTGAAAAATGATATTCATTCAACTTAGATTATTGATTTGTGTTATGATTGTATTTTAGGGAGCTTTCTGGGGATTAATGGTAGGATTAGTTGCAGGATTAACCCGGTTTATTTGGGAGTTTTCTTACACTCCAGTACCATGTGGTGAGGAGGAGAACGACATCCGACCCGATATCATCAGTAAAGTTCATTACCTCCATTTTGGTATATTACTGTTTGGTTTAGTAGTTATAGTAACTGTTGTAGTCAGTTTACTTACAGCACCAATTGAAGACAGATATGTAAGTATACGTCGTCTTACTGTTCCACCATTCCACGTATCTCAAGATGAGATTTTCAGAACTGACTTTATCTATAGGTGGTGTACAAAATCTGTTAGATCCACGTCCTTTTGTAATTGATTGTGCACTGTGCAGTTTTGTAATCCAGAGTATTGTTAGACCCACGCCATTTTGTAATTGGAAGTGTTGTTTAATCTACGCCCTTTTGTAATTGATTGTGCAGTTAGACCCACGCCATTTTTTAATTAAATGTATTGTTAGGCCCATTCCATTTTGTAATTAAGAGTATTGTTAGATCCACGCGCTTTTGTAATTGAGAGTGTAGCTAGACACCCGACCTTTTGTAATTGATTGTGCAGTTGGACCCACATCATTTTGTAATTAAATGTATTTTTAGACCCATTGCATTTTGTAATTAAGAGTAGTGTTAGACAAACGTCATTTTGTAATTGGGAGTGTTGTTAGACAAACGTCCTTTTGTAATTTGAAATGTTGTTAGACCCGCGCCTTTTCTAATTTCTAATTTCAAGTGTTGATATGTTTAATTAAGATTGTTGACGTTCGTAATTTCTAATTAAAAGTGTTTAAATAAGAGTGTTAATATTACTAATTCGTAATTGAAAGTGTTGATATTTCTAATTAAGAGTGTTGATATTTCTAATTAAGGGTGTTGATATTTCTAATTAAGAGTGTTGATATTTATAATCGAGGTGTTGATATTTATAATCGAGAGTATGGATATTTCTAAATGAGAGTGTTGATATTTTTAAGTAAGAGTGTTGATATTTCTAATTAAGAGTGTTGATTTTCTAATTAAGATTGTTGATATTTCTAATTAAACATGCATTATGCAAGAGCTAAATCTGCCTATTTCAGGTCTAACTTTAGGCCTGAAATGTTATTTAATCCAGGCCATAATCAACTCTAGATGGCTGCGCTAGCCTGCGATCTTTAGTGGATTGTAAGCCGATTTACTGAATAACTTTCCTTCTCATTAAACGATTAAATGGATAATCGAGACTATGCTGTTTATCGTACTGATTTTAGTAATGATGACCGAGGCTTATGGGAATTTCAGTCGCTTAGTTCTCGGTTCATAGTGGATCAATTTGAATGAAATTTTCACCAAATTGCCTTCTACCTTATCTAGTTTTTAACTATTATAGTGAGAACTGCCAACTCGTTACCGAATCTCCCATAGTGTATCTTTAAGAGTTGATATTTCCAATTAAGTTTCTAGATGTTTCTAATTGAGATATTTGATATTTCTAATTGAGATATTTGATATTTCTAATCGAGAGTTTTGTTTTTTCAGCTACACAGGTTGACGTTCTGGAGTAGATTTGATACACGGGAGAGGTCTGATTTAGATAAAGAGGAGGCAGAAAAGGTTGCTAAGAAACCACCTCCAGTTATCGCAGAAGGTAATGTAACAATAAACATAGGTATATAACTTTCAGATGCTGACATGTTGTCAAAAGAAATGTAACATTAACGTTTAGGCATTCGTTTTACGGGGCGAACATGTAAGCTTCTAAATGATGTTAAGGGCCCCGCATATCTGTGAGAAAGAGAAAGAGAGAAATGGGGTTTAACGTCCACTCGACACAAACTAGGTCATTTCGGGACTAACATATGGTTTAATTTTATTTCAATAATTCGCTTGTGCGTAGGGGTCTTTGGTAGTGGGAGGACACCGGAGGACCCGGAGAAAACCCACGAGGTTGGACACGCGACCCTACTCCTTGTCACCTACAACCGGGGTGGCGAAACCACGCCAGTTGACTCAATGACAGACCTTGTGATACAGCGCGCACGTGCTAACCATTCGGTCATCTACCCCCCCCCCTCGCATATCTGTACGATCCGTCATTTCTTACTGAAAAATATACTCAGCCAAATTAAAAACTTGACACTGATGAATTTCAACAATTTTTTTTTTCTGGTAAGTCAAATAAATTTTAAAGTGTTTCTAACGATAGTAAGTAGTAAGAAGCCTTTAATTTCATAAAATTGTAAAGTCACGTGGATCACGTGACTTTTGAGCATATAAAGATGAAAAACCTGAAAAACACGTGCAAACACAAACTCGTGAGGTCAATCGATGCAAGTTTGCTTAAACTGAACACGCACACGTAACTTGAACTGGAAAAACAAATTAAAATTGTTATTTTCATCTTTGTTAGAAAATGCCGCGCCTTTCAAATGTAGAACGTCTACGTGCTATAGGTAGGCTCTATGCTGGTCAGTCTGTGGTCACTGTTGCAAGAGCCTTTAATTGTTCACGCCAGACAATAATTAATCTTAGAATGAGAGTGCTTCAAACTGGAACTATTGCCGACCGCCCGAGGGCGGGAGCGCCACGTGTGACGTCACTCCAGGAAGATCAGGCAATACGATTACGTCATCTTAGAAACAGATTTGTCACTGCAACCTACACAAGTAGAGAGATGTTTTGTGGAAGGGTAACTGCACAAACTGTTCGAAATCGCTTGCAGGCTGCTGGTCTTCGAGCTCGGAGGCCCTATAATGGACCAATATTGACACCTCTTCATCGCCGTAACCGACTTGTGTGGGCCACAAGACACATAAGATTCACTCAAAGACAGTGGAATTCGGTTGTCTTTAGTGACGAATCTCGATTCACTTTGAGATTTGCCGATGGCAGGGTCCGAGTGTACCGCAGACGAGGTGAACGTCAGCAAGTGAATCCACCACTGACGTTGCAAGACCTTCAACATGCTCTTGCTGAGCAGTGGCGACGTCTTCCTCGGGTAGTGTTTACTAATGTTCTGAGATCCATGAGAAGACGTTTTGTGGCAGTACGAGACGCTAGAGGAGGCCACAACCGTTACTAAACACTTTATTCCGATTGTTCTCCAAGTCTGTGAATTTCATTTTGGCGGGTACTGTGACATCACGAACGTTATCAATGTCAAGGACTTTCGGCGAGACGTATTCTTGCTTTCTGTTGATGTCAAGGTCGTCTGTGCACAACATAACACTAAAATAGTTGCCTTAAACCAAATATTAAAAATCCAGACCCAAAAATCCCGAGTGTCAAGTTTTTAATTTGGCTGAGTATAGATCATGTCACGTAGTCGTCACTGCGCGATGGGACTCAATGAAAGTAGTTGATTTGAGGTCACAGCGCTACCCATCCAGTCGGCCCCTGCTGGTGGATCTGGGATTACCTCGCATTTCTCCTCATTTTTGGAGTCGGGAGAAAAATACCTGTTGATGATTTGTTTCAACGTAGACTAAATTGTACATTATATGTTTGTTTCAGTGGATTACGATACTCTGCCATGGTACAAGAAAGCATTCCAGTGGATATGTGGTATTGAGAAGATGAATGACGCGCCAGTATTTACAGAAGAAGAGCTCAAGATACAAGAGATGAAACAAACATCCATCCACGAGACAAAAACATGGCGCCGTGTTCTAAATGTCAACGCCATTGTTCTTATGACTTTAGCCATTTTTGTTTGGGGTTTCTGGGCATAAATCTGTCAGACGTCATCAAGGGGTGATTATACTTGAGATATTATTGAGGTTTTTAAATAGTGATAACTCTTCAGTTTAATTCATATGTTTTCATATTATTAGTGGGCAATCGTTACTTCAGTACTTATATTCTTTACTGACTCAAACATATTGTAGACTAGCGGATAACCCGGCGATACTCGGGTTGTGCCCGTAATTCCGAAACTGGGAGGCTTAGGCCAACGCCACGTCCGAGCTACAAATTTCACAGCCCGAGTGTAGCCCGCTAACCCTGAACAGACAAACAGAGAGAGAGAGAGAGGGAGAGAGAGAGAGAGAGAGAGAAACAAACGACAATCACAAATATTAGTACAGATGAAATTGTCTATAATGTTTGACTTGAGTACTTCAATTCTTCAACACTTCTGCCCACTTAACCGACTTAAACATAGATTTCTGGGATATAGTTTTTTCTCCGAAAAAAATGGACTTATTATTAGTGGGTAATCGTTGGTTGCTTGAGTGCTTAAATTCTTAAAAACACTTTTGCCCACATTTAACCGACTCAAACATAGATTTTTTGGATATAATATTTTTTCTCTGAAAACCCTAGAATTTAGCAGAGTTAACCGACTCAAATATAGATTTTTGGGACATAATTTTTTCTCTGAAAACCCTAGAATTTAGCATAATGTAAAATGAAACTCATCTCTTATGTTAATTACATATAGTTGTTTTGTATATTACTAAATCATTATTATTAACATAGTTTAGTATCGTTATTAACATTTATTAACATTAATTGATCATTGACCGGCGCCATATTAAATGGTAAAAAAAAACCACGTGTTTAAGAGATTTTATAGTATCCAGTGAGAAGACGAACCCTACCCCGGTTTAAAAGATTCCTTTAGTATCCAGATGTTAATTATCATTTACTTAATACTATAAGACATATACAAGTAGATTTCACAAATTAAAAACACTTATATAGATATACTACTGCGAAATTTACTAACATGCTTACGTTTCGATACACATACAGATATCGTTATCAAGCATTTGTATAGACATTTAAAAATGGTACCAATGTGTAAATGTAATAGTCTATTTACAGTTTAAAAAAATATGAAAAACCCACAGTTATTTTTAATATCTAATTGTCCAAATGTTCAACTTTTAATATCTAGTTGCCTGGATGTTCGACTTTTAATATCTAGGGGCTTCAATGTTACATTATTAATATCCAATGGCTCCAATGCAATGGCTCCAATATACGAAAAGTGAAATAACGTTTGAATATATTATAATATTATTCAATAGTGTACAAACAGAATTCGTTATTAAGTTGCAATTTAAATTATTCTGAAATGGTATTGTATAGGATAATGTTTCAAACCTATCCAAATCATTAGTGGTCAGTATATTAATGTCAAATTTATGTCGTTTTTAAGTGATTGACTGTCAATAAATTTTGTATAAAATATTCTTTCTTTCCTTTTTGTCGCAAACAGTACAGTCAATTTATGATTGTACCTCAGCCCCCCCCCCCCCCAAAAAAAAGAAGAAAATTGCAAGAAATCGTGTTTATGCAATTTTTGTGTGGAATGGGGGTCAGCCAAATCAAAGTCTCTTCGAGCTTATCGAGGACAGTATATTTGGTGACACTTTCAATTGATCATGTAAAGAGAAAAACACAAGGCAAAGTCGACTAGAAATGACAATCGTTGCATTAAAAGAGTTTGTTATATTCTTTGTTTCAGTTTTATAATATGTTCACACAATATTTCCAACAAAGAAATGTAAGAAATGAAAATCTTAATAATTGTATTTTAGGTCTTTGAAGCTTGATAATAACACATATAATGTTCGTGTTTTTATATAATAAACGATATTATATTTAATATATCTCATGAAATTTTATGTAATTGGCACTCAGTTGTATGTATAAAAATTACACGATCTAAACGGCCAATTAAATTCCATCGAAGCATGAAATAGATACATTAATGTTTATATAATGACATGCCATGATAATTACATTTTCATCTTCCAGGTGACCGGCCTACGTCGGGGTCTTATTTAAAGATACGTTATGGAGATTAGATAAAGAGATGACAGTTCTTGCTATAATAGTTAAAAACTAGATAACGTAAAGAGAACATGCTGAAAATTTCAGTCAAATTTCTCCAATCTGAACCGAGATATTAGCGATTGAATGTTAGGGCTAGCCCCGATCATCATTACTAAAGTTGGTACGATAAAAACACATAGTCTCGATTATCCATTTTTTGATTAAATCACAAATGAGCGTTGAGCAGGAAATCGAAAATCAGACACATAAGATGTTAATAAATGTCTAATTAATAATTTAGATAACATTTCAGGCCCAAGGAAAGACCTGCAATAGGCAGATTTAGCTCTTGCATAATGTATGTTTACAGGGCCAAACTCGATTATATTTTGGAGAATAAAACTGCTTAATTTTGGGTTAAAAGCCCTAAACCCGTCAGTCTATATCTTGAAATTGAGACCAGTGTCCCAAGCTGTATTATGTGGTGTCTGGATTAATAAAAATAACATACAGATGAAATTGACCTTCCATTATCAAGTACAGCACGTGTGTCATGCACTGTATAGACCTCTAAAGGAACGACAATATATTATCAGGTCACCCAACGAAAAAATTGAATCGAAATCTTAAACGTGTTACGTATCTAATTTACTTGGATATCTTTTTTCACGGACCCGCTTTTTCACCCTTCTAGCCCCGTACTGATCACTTTGAACCCCAGATTGGGAACACTGTTCTTTTTGCAATCTACTTCCTGTAACTAAGTCCTTTCATCAATCAAAAACTCTTTAATCCATGATTATATGAAATCAGTAATTTAAATGTTTGATGAAGAGAAATTCTAGTCCTTCTGCTCATATTCTAGTCTATATTTCTATGTGCAGAAGGACTAAAATGACGTCACGGATTGCTTATTGACGGAAAGTTCCGACTACCGACGGAGAACGGCGGAAATTACTAATGTTGAAATTTACCTGTTGCAGGTATTATTGACGTTCGGGCTCGGGTTATACTTATGGAAAGGATATGTTGACATAATTACTTGCATTATTTAAAAAAAAAATTGATGCTTTTCCGGTGACCTTTAAGTCAACTGGCGGGGTTTCAATTCCCCGGTTGTACGTGACAAGGAGTAGGGTCGCCTGTCCAATCTCGTGGGTTTTCTCCGGGTCCTCCGGTTTCCTCCCACTGCTAAAGACCCCTACGCGCAAGCGAATTATTGAAATAAAATTAAACCATATGTTAGTCCCGAAATGACCTGGTTTGTGTCGAGTGGACGTTAAACCCCATTTCTCTCTCTCTCTCGATTAGACCTAATCACAGTTTATTATAAGTGTAATATGGCTGACATTTGCCTATAACCAATGTACACGAAAAATCTAAACTGTTGGTTTTTAAGACCCTATTAATGTATAATGGACATATAAATTAATGCTTTCGGATCGTTCTTTTATATGAAAATATACTTAATGGTGTTAACTGGTCTAGTATACCTTTTTAGGGGAACCCCCTACTCCCTCCAATCTGCGACCGAGAACCCAAATTTACGAATAGGCTTTACCCTGCACTGCTTCATCATAATATAGGACCTTTGGTATCTGAAGTAAGGTTTTCATAATGTATCAACAATGGTATTGATATCATATTGCTAGAGGACACTTATATTTAGTCGTTAGGATGGGACGGAAAACCGAGGACCCGTGTAAACATTGGCGTGCACGTAAAAGATCCCTTGACAGTTGGAATTCGATATAAGAGTAGGCCATAGTGCCGCTGTCCGGGCAAAATTTCCCTCATCACTGCATCACTGACAAGGGGGAGCCAGTAAGTGCAAGTGCAGAGTTACGAATATATGTAAATTTGGGTTCGCGTCGATAGGTTTTGGGGTAGGGGATTCCCCGAAAATGGTATAAAGAACCACTTAAGAATGACTCCAAAAACATTAATTTAGAGACCAAAATTGTTACATGTATTTTATGATAAAACAGTGCAGAGTTATGCTCCTTTATAGATTTGGATTCTGTGCAGCATGTTTCTCGAGTAATGATATCACCGAAAAAGGTTCAAGAGAGCACCGCACATCTATAAAAACCATGCCATATAAAGTTTGATCTTGACAACCTACGGAATGGCGTCACTTTCTCTTAAAAATTCACGACTTTGTGTTTGAATTTTTAAAGGAAACTGTCTTAAATTCCAATTCCGGACGAACCCTACTCTGTATATTGAAGAAGAAGAAGAAATATAACCTACCTCTTAAATACAGTAGTTATGATATAAGATAACCGAAACCCCAAACCCTGGCCCAACTCCTTTAACCCAACTCTAGCCACGAGCTAATCTTTATTAGGTCTAATCTAACCCCCTTTGTTGTTACAAATAACCTTTCTTTTAAAATTATATGTGATTTCAAACAAAAGCCGGTGTCCGAAAAAGCAAAGCCAAAGCAAAGCTAAAATGCCCTATTTGTTTGAAAAGAAAAAATCAAATAGAACAGATTCACAATGAAAACAAAAATCCCGATAATAGCTATATATACTGCGACGCAATGAAACTATAGTAAGACGGTTTATCTTCATTATTTCGTAGGATTCAGCGTGGTGGCTCAATGCGAAGCCATGGGGATACTCGATTGAACGTTTCGAAATTGAATTCTTTCTATCCCCAAACTTGTGACATTGAGAGAAAAGGGGTGGGGTGGGGTGGGTCGGGCTACAACGCATGCGTCGACTGCATCAGAAAATATCTCAGCCAACCATGCATCTGAAACATATTCGGTGTGTTTAACTACGTCACAGGACTGTATTCCGCGTCACTCGATAGCAATTCTGTCAATTCGGGACGTTCTGGACTGACCATCGAGCATCCCCCATGAGACCCCGGGGCCAAGCCCGATGTCGACCGACAAGGTTCTTTTTAGGTTTTCCGGCATGGTTCCTCCTAGTCAGCGTTTCAGAGTGGACGACCTGCTTTAAAAACAGAGGGCCTGACAAGGACAGCTGTCTAGTCCTTCGGATGAGACGAAAAACCGAGGCCCCGTGTATACATCGGAATGCACGTAAAAGATCCCTTGGCAGTTGGAATTCGATATATATATGAGGGCAAAATATCCCTCATAGCACACTGTATCATATGGCGTATGCCCGTCTTCATTAGCCTAACATAGGAGCAGAACAGTAGGACGTTAAACCCCATTTCATTTCATTTCATTTGCTTTAAATGGGAAGACAAACTTAGGTCTAGTGTACACATTGGTGTGGACACAGGCTCCTTTGCTTTACGAATCTAAATGACGCATATAAATTTCATACAGATCGAATGATAACTTTTTCTCGTTGGAACGTCAACAAAGTGACACAAGGGCCATTACTCTGGAAGTAATCAACAGAAACAAAGGGTCATAACTCCAAAAAAAAAATTAACGGAAATTATTGAAATTCTTCATCTCACTAATGTAAACAATATATATCAATGTCAAAACAATCAGATGATAAGTGTAGTCTGTAGAGTGTTTACAAGAAATTGTGGACCACGTACCGACGTGCGGACGGGGGCGACGGCAATACACGACCATATTTCCCTGTGGGCGTATAAAAATCACCCTATGTTGTTTTGTTGGTGTTTTTTGGTCAATAGTTACCACTAAATGGCTAACAAATCTTGTATTTATTCCTGTTGATCAAAGACGATTGCTTTAAAAATAAAAATTAACAAACATGTGTTTTAGAAATTCCAGTCAACTTTTATTTAATAAAATTCCCTGCGGGCGTATAAAAATCACCCTGTGTTGTTACGTTGTGTTTGGTCAATTATTACCATTAATTATTTATTTATGCCTGTTCATCAAAACACACGTGTTTGAATAATTCCAGTCAACTTTTATTTTAAACAATTCTAACTCGTCAATGAGTTGACTGTACAAATAACAGCTTTCCCTCCGAAATTCGAAGCGTATCTGGAAGTATTTTTTTTTTTTTTTTTTGTACGCCATTATCCTGGAAAGAAAAATATAAACTTATAAATTTGTCATTATTTCTCCTATAACATATAAATTTGTCATTATTTCTCCTATAACATTAACACGTTTAATGTCACCCATATCAAAAACACCCCCCCCCCCCCACACCCCAAACCTACAATATGATAGAGACAATATGTGACGAGTGTACGTGTCCAACTCTGAAAAGAGACGTGAGTACTTTTCGACGGAAATAAATAAATTATTAAAGTAATATAAATACGGCCAGCACATTCCCCAGCCCCAGACCTAGAATATGATAGATGCCATATGGACACGGCTCAAAAAATATTTCTACATTGGTCACCGAAGGGCGAAAGTTATTTTTAGTCTTCGTCTCCCTTTCCCTTTTCCCACCTTTTGCATGGCGATTTGTTTTTTACTTTTCTGCCAAGGTTCTGGTGAATATTCGTGATTTTGAGGCGGAAAGATACGGTGTTGAGAGGTTGGTTAGGTTGAAAAGTAGGGCGGAAAATTACATGTTTATTTATGCCCCCGTCAGACCGGGGTGGCGTCCTCACTGTGCTGCTGCGACCGTACGGCGACCAGAAAATGCACAAGGTCGCCGGCAAACGTGAACACAACGCGCGAAAATGTCCCAAAAAATAACAAAACTTGTAAAAAGTCGTATCCTTATAGCTTTCCAATTCAAATCGCAGAACCTTGGCGTTTGTTTTGAACATGCTCAAAGCAAACGCCGTGACTCGGCGATCATTGGCGACCACATCACGATAGCTGTCGTTTCCACCACGCTTATGGCGATCTTAACGCGCTCTAAAACCACTTTCCGTCGTCGTAGCAGCGAAGTAAGGACGCCACCCAGGTCTGACGGGGGTATTATCTTTACTTCTATTGTATTTCTCTCTCTCTCCCATGGTAGCGTGCTTTTGAGCAAGTGGTTGCCACATGTTGCTCCATCTGTGGTAAAAAGCGTTCTACCCAACGAAAATGTGGGAAAAACGTAGAACCGGTCTAAGAGACGACTTTAAAGTCATGGGGGGGGGGGGGGGATCATTAGCGATCTGTGGCCATATGTGGCGACTGAAAGCTTCCAAAATTTAGGGAGACACGTCTACTTTTCAACGGAATTAAATAATTTATTATATTAACATAGATACGTCCAGTACATATATGTGTAATAATATTATAATACATTAGAGGCCATATGTGACGATAGCAAGCTTCCAATTTTTAAAGAGACGCGAGTACTTTTAAATGGAAATCAAATAGTTGATTGATTTAATATAGATGTAAATAAGTTCAACGGCCCTTTAACAAAAAAAACAAAAAAACAAAAAAAAAACAAAAAAAAACAACCCAACCCCAATATAATAGATTAGAGACCATATGTGTTTTTCAACTGATGAGTTATAACAATAATCAATGGTGTATACAATATTTTTTTGGGGTTCACAGTGACTAAGTGGGTAAGACGCTGGCTCGCTATCCTGGAGGTCGGTTCGAGAAAGTTCATCCAGATTTTCCGGCGTGGTTCACCCCTTGTCTGTGATGCAGGACGGGGGGCCTGACAAGGACAGCTGTCTATATGGGACAAAAACCGAGGTCCCGTGTACACATTGGCGTGCACGTAAAAGATCCCTTGACAGTTTGACTTCGATACAAGAGTAGGCCGTAGTGCCCCTGTCAGGGCAAAATTTCCCTCATGGCACACTGTATGACGTATGCCCGTCTTCATTAGCCCTATTCAGAGCAGAAAAGTAGGACGTTAAACACCATTTCATTTCATTTCAGTATACAATATTTGAACATACCTATAGCTATTGGACACACTTGGATCGGTCTTTAGGGTCATAAATAGAACTAAACCATCACCAGGGTCTCTCAAAAAGGTAGTAATATATATCTGTTGTTGTTTTGGAGGTAAACCAAACAAATCAAAATAACTTGCTTTCACGCTCATCATCCCCTGTTGCCGGTGGTAACGACATTTGTGCTCCTTCCAGAAGCTTGTCGACCTCATCACAAGGATCTTGCGGGCTTTCTCCGCCCCTCAACACGTTGGTGCGCACAGCATCAAAGACGCTGTCGCATACAGATATTCCCTTATTCCTAAGAAAAAAATAAATAAATAAATAAAACAATAAACGATGCGTTTAAATAATCATTAGTCGATGAATTTTGATATTTGCTAGTTAAATAAAACTTACAGCTTTCTTTCGTGTCATTTTCTTTCTTCTAAAACAAAACTCAGGATATGTTTACTGTTTCTGGCGTCCAGTATTCTGAGACAGTATTGCGTGTTGAACGGACATTTTAGAGTCAGAGTTTTCTTGGAGTTAACCAATCAAAATTCTAACAGAGATAAAACGTGTCCAGTGCGTGATAGGGGAAACAACCCGGGTAGAGGTTGACCGCTTGATAATCAACAGATGTGTTTGTGGGTTGTTTTAATTTTTTAGCTGAATATGATTTATTTTAAAATTAAAGAGAATTGTATGTGATGTATTGTAAATATAATTATTTTGTTCAAAATGACCAGTGTATTGTAGGACTTAAAGTATTTAATGTATTTATTGAAATGTAATGTTTTATAGGCCATATAACATTTGTTCACCTTTTTTAAAAGACAATTTCAGGATTTGGAGAATTGTATTTGATTGTTTTTTTTACAGTTGAGCCAATTAATATTTATATACTGTTGTTATATATTATCTGATATATATTATTTATATGTCACTTTATAATGATAAACGTTTTCTTGAAAAGGTTTGGGAACCCCATATTGCGGGGATGAAACGGCCTTCAAAGAAGACCGAGATAATCTGTTCATGTGGATTGCAATGAAGTGTCTATTTCTACTATACCTACCTGACCGAACTTCATATAACCATATATTATTTAAGTTGCATTAAGCGATACGGAATTTCATTGAACGCGATCCCATCGCAACAAGTCCTATAGCATATCAGTGTAGTTTTCTATAGAATTCTATAGAGATTTGTGTGAGGTGTGTCCGTCCACGCTGCAAGTAAGCACCTCCAGTTAAATCACTGGCGTGTTTTCAATGCGTCTCAGTATGTTATAAAACAGGTTCACAATGGTAAAATCATTTGGAATGATAAACGCACCATGGAACTTTCAGGGATTAAAGGATATCAGAATGAAGCTATATTAGTGGCTATATAAGGGTTAGCAGTTGAGGTCATTTAACCTTGAAATAAACAGCAGGAACAGATTCACGGGAAACTTGACGAAAACATACCCTGTACTTCATATGGCCATACTAATGCTACAGAGATTCCTCAAATGAGAATGATAATTGGTATTAGAAATAATACACGTACAGTGCTTGTAACATGGGAGGTAATTTGGGTTTGAAGGCAATATTAAGAACATGCACAGACTCCATGCAAGGTCTAGTGTAAATTATATAAGGTTCATGCTATTAGTTGATGTTAGTCAGTGAAGCTAAATTCAGCTCTTTGGTGAGAGAGAGAGAGAGAAATGGGGTTTAACGTCCTCTCGACACAAACTAGGTCATTTTGGGACTAACATATGGTTTAATTTTATTTCAATAATTCGCTTGCGCGTAGAGGTCTTTAGCAGTGGGAGGAAACCGGAGGACCCGGAGATAATCCACGAGGTTGGACAGGCGACCCTACTCCTTGTCACGTACAACCGGGAATTCGAAACCACGCCAGTTGACTCAATGACAGGCTTTATGATACAGCACGCACGTGCTAACCATTCGGCCACCCAATCCCCCGCTCTTTGGTGAGGGGAGAGCGAAGAAATGGAGTTTAATGTCCCCCAACAAAAACTAGGTCATTTTGGCACCAACACATTGTTTTAATTTCATTTTAATAAATCGCTTGTGAGTAGGGCCCTGTAGCTGTGGGAGGAAACAAGAGGAATCGGAGAAAACCCATGAGGTTCGACATGCAACCCTATACCTTGTCATGTAACAGCAAGGAATCGAAACCATGCCACTCTACTCAATGACAGATCTTGTGATCTAAAGTGCATGAATTAAACCATTCGGTCATCCAAACATGCACACGTTAAACATTCGACCACCTAAACAGGCACACATTAAACCATTCGGTCACCCAACCCCCTAGACCAGTGGTGGGCAAACTTTTTAGGTTAAAGGCCAGATGTAGTGAAAGGGTCTGGCGGGTCGGATGATAAGGCTTCCGGAGCCCGATTTGGCTCGTGGACCGTAGTTTGCCCACCACTGCTCTAGCTTTATAGTGAAGCCTCAGTTTTATTATTATATATATGTATGACTCAGAATCATTCTTCCCAATAAAAACAATTTCTCATGTTTATATTTATTAATTTATATACATATAACAATAGGTACAGTAACTGGATAATACGATATAAAATAAAAATAAATTAGGTGATGGAATTGTTATTTAAACAAATGATAAAACACAATGCCAACAAGTTATTCTTTTAAAAAAACAAAACATCCCCTTAAACAACCATTGCATTAAAGGTAGAAGGATGGGTATATGGGAGCCCTATATAAAATAGTTTTGGGTGAATCTTGTTATTGTCGAAAAATTGGATTGACAGGGGACTAATCTCATTGATAGGAGACTAATAAAATATGGCAAAGGTGTACTTTTGTTGAAAATATTAATAAATGCTTACAATAAATACAAGCTCTAGATGTTTAATTTTATGTTAAAAATAAATAATGATGAATAATGATATTGGCAGTATAAATATTAAATGAAAAATCTTATATTATGAATTTTGATTATTGGTAAGTAATCATCCTGAAATTGTGAGTATGGGATTATTGTGAAAGTTATCCTTTGCATCCTGAGTGATAGCTAAAATCACAAGCTCAAAATGTGAAAGACTACTAAGAAGACTAGTTGCTGTCAGTATGCAGGTCAGAATTCTATGGAATACAATTACGTGTGGTTTAGTGGTCGAGAGCGAGACATTAAGTAATATATTGTAACAACATGAGGGCCGTGAGGCCCGAATGTTTTTACAATATATTATGCAATGTCTTAAGCTCGAGACCATTAAACAACTTAAAATACAGACACTTGCACATGCTTTGTAATGAAATACGTCACTCGAGTTCAATATTTTACTAAGTTACGCTTAGCACATTGCCGGTACAATCATTATGAAATAATGGTACTCCAACATCAAAGGATGACGTCACATCTGTATTTTAATGCTTATTATTGAGCGACGTTTTGACTAGGCTAGAGAAGCTGAGCCGAAACACCGCTCAGTAATTGTATTCCATAGAATTGTGATCTGTATACTCCAGTTCAATTACTAAATGCCATTGAAACAATTTAAACAATTTAAGTAGCTGTCACTTGTCATCTCACACCTCCAACAATTTATTTAGTTGAGGTTGCCTGAAATGTTGGAACATTACAGAAGTTAGAAACAAATGTAATTGTTTTATTAATAAAGAGAGAGAGAGAAATGGGGTTTAACGTCCACTTGACATAAACTAGGTCATTTCGGGACTAACGCATGGCTTAATTTTTTTAAAATAATTCGCTTGCGCATAGGGGTCTTTAGCAGTAGGAGGACCCGGAGAAAACCCACGAGGTTGGACAGGCAACCCTACTCCTTGTCACGTACAACCAGGGAATCGAAACCACGCCAGCTGACTCAATGACAGACTTTATGATACAGAGCGCACACGCTAACCATTCAGCCATCCAATCCCCCTTATCAGTAAAGACAACTAGTGCTAGTCTAATAACGATGATATATATAAGTTAAGATACACTTGTTGAGTATCTGTTTCAGAATCAACTTTTCATAACAAAAACTATATTTCAAGATATTAGTTTACAGATTAGTTATTCTAAATATGCAATAAATAAATATATGTTTTTAATTTTGATTTATTTTCTAAACATATACTTAACTCTTAAATCCATTTCAAATAAACTTTCGCATTCATATGAATATTTCAATTAGTGTGAATCATATCTAACCATACAATTAGTGTAAATTACATATAAACATACAATTAGTGTAAATTACATCTAACCAGACAATTAGTGTAAATTACATCTAACCAGACAATTAGTGTAACCAAACAATTAGTCTAACCAGACAATTAGTGTAAATTACATATAAACATACAATTAGTGTTTACATCTAACCATACAATTAGTGTAAATTACATCTAACCATATAATTAGTGTAAATTACATATGTAATTTACACTAATTGTATGGTTAGATGTAATTTAAACCATACAATTAGTGTAAATTACATCTAACCATACAATTAGTGTTAATTACATCCAACCATACAATTAGTGAGGTTAATGTAATTTAAACCATACAATTAGTGTAAATTACATATAACCATACAATTAGTGTAAATTACATCTAACAATTTTTGACATTATCTTTGAGAGTAAAATTTACAATATCATTTATTGCACTTCAGCGGACTCTTATTAGCTTTCAGTAATGTGCAGTTTGTGATTGGATGACTCCAATCAAAATTAAAATTGCTCAATATCTTTTGAGAGGATTTGTTTATCCCAACCTTTGATGTCAAAGGTACTATTATGCTGTCGCCATAAGCCCAGAATGTGCAATTCCTAAACACATCCACAGATGTTTAAAGGGCTAAATGAAACACAAATAGCATATAGAGTTGTAATTTGATTGCCAAATAACCAGTCAAAACAGTTGAAATATCTAATCTAAACAGTGTGTGTAATAGTATGTGCTCTTACTTTAATGAACACACTGATTAAAGTTACATCCAAGTTAAAAGAATTCATTTCTATTTTATAACATGTTTGGTTGTATCATTGCTTGATAACGGTGAGAGTATCCTCGATGAAACGTTGCAGTTAATAAACCTAGTGAATGTCATCCATAAAGTTGTCTGTTTATTATATATTGCGTTCAATAAATGCCTTTCAAAGACACTTTATAACAATTGCAAGACTATAAGAAAATATAACAGCAATACAAAGACTCATAGGGAATTAAAATTGACGATTCAAAAATACATTTATATCTTTATATAATTACAATAAACAAGTATGATTCAAATACATTTTCATATCTTAGTCCTTGTAAATAGTTTTCAACTTTCATGTTAATTTATTGATCACTTCTTTCTAAATATTAGATCTTGTAATTTACAAGTTGATCACTTAAATATACATTATGTAAGATTTAGATAAAGAGCTAGCCATTCTTGCTACAATAGTTTAAAAATACATAACGTAAAATGAATAATTTGAAAATTTTGTTCAAATTACTCTATTGCGAGTGAAGATATTAGCCTTTGAAGGTTTGACAAGACGTGTGAAATAATTTCAACCACCGTACTGATTGTTCGAATCTAAGTCTCGCTCCTCCATTTTAAACTAAATCAAAATATGGCTGAACCGTTCTCATCTGTTTAATATCGGAGAAATCATTTGCCATCGAGAGTTGATTATGGCCTGGATAAGTTAATTAATGTCTAATTAATAATTTAGAAAACATTTCAGGCCTAAAGAAAAACCTGCAGTAGGCAGATTTAGCTCTTGCATAATGTATGTTTAATTACATTTATTACCTAATTAATCCAGCCTATTATCAACGATAATCGAGATGAGTAGTAGTTATACACTCAGTACAATCAATATATTATGGAGTTTTGAATATTATTCACCATATAATAAGTCTGATTTCCGCTGCATATTTCCGGTGGGACGTTTGGAAAATCGCATACGATATGTCCAGAAATACAGGTGAAGTAGCATCCCTGCTTGTAACTCACCCTTCTAGTTGATAACCACTAGTTATATATTTATCACAACATTAATCTGTTTTTTTTTACTGTTTATAAAGGGTAAAAAGTGAGGCCGGCCATCTGGGCCAATTTTCTACCCTTTGAAAATTATTAGTAAGAGAGAGAGAGAGAAATGGGGTGTAATGTCCACTTGACACAAACTAGGTCATTTCGGGATAAACATATGGTTCAGTTACTTCAATAATTTGCTTGCGTATAGGAGTCTTTAGCAGTGAGAGGAAATCGGAGGACCCAGAAAAAACCCATGAGGTTGGACAGGTGACCCTACTCTTTGTCACGTACAAGTGGGAATCGAACACATGCCACATGACTCAATGACAAACCTTATGATCCCAAGCGCACGCATTTAACCATTCGGCCACCCAACCCACCTGAAAATCATTAGTATTATTATTACTACTCATCATAATTGTCTGATGTTCAAATAAACATTAGAAAGATGTCGTTTCAAACTCTGCTTGATCTCTTCTACAACTTGTGTTTTGTTCTTCTCCTTTCTCATATATAACTTTATTTGTTCTTTCCTTCCCTTGCTGCCTTCTCTCGCTCCGCAATATCAATTGAAGCCATGTTCTGACAAGCTATGACCAAATGAACACCACTAATAGCCATCTTAGCAAAAGCTATTGGAGCAGCAATATACAGAAGTAACGTCCACAAACCAATAGACAGCGGACCCAATGGCACTGTAAAATACAATTAATAATATATATAAATGAAATGTAATAAAATGGGAGTTTAACGTTCTACTGTTTTGCTCCTGACTGGGATAATGAGGACGGGCAAACGCCATAAAGTGTGCTATGAGTGAAATTTTGCCAGGGCCTACTCTTATATCGAATTCCAACTGCCAAGGGATCTTTTACGTGCACACCAATGTATACACGGGAAGGACTATACAGCTGTACTTGTCACTGACAAGTTGTCAGACTCCCCATCCTGCACCACTGACATGAACAAACCGTGTCGGAAAATCCCAATGAACTTTCTTGACCAATGCAGGGATCGAACACGCGACCAATAATATATATAGTTCCAGTTTTATAATTGGACAAATAATGCTCTCCAGTACAACATTTATTGAAGGAAGATTTGTTGTGGATACTCGATCAACAGTCTGTAACATCCCGAATTGACACACAATTCAAGCCTGTAACAGTTCTGTCAGTTCCAACAACTAAGGTGCTGGTGTGATTAGAACTGTGGCGTAATTAAACACAACCAATATTTTTCAGCTTTCATGGTTGGTTAAGATATTTTATTATGCAGTATTTTGGGGATTGAGGGAATTCAATTATAGAACATTCAATCGATAATGAAGGGAGATAATTTTGTTCAAATAATGTTTCTTATCTTTTATTTTTCTTCTATTAGAGACAGTTCTTTAGAGAGGGAGGGATGCCAAGCAGCTCAATTAGACAGCTGACAGGCAAAACCATAAACTTGAACATAGCTTTAAACAATTGTCTCTCCAAAGAAGTTAGAATAAATGAAAACTTACAAACTGGTCCGATGGTGAAATGACGAAGGTAGAGCAAACAGAAAAACAATTCATTGGCTGAACACATCACAAACAATATTTTCTGAAATACAATTATCAATATTATCGGTACACTATTATACCTCTCATCCTTTACCTTGCTTCATGAAAATAATCCCAAAGCAACAATCTTGAAAAGGCTGTTTAAAATGGGGTGTTTTATTTTTAGAACATCAGGTTGTTTTTGTTGATGTCTTGGATTTTATCCTCGAAGGGCAGTCTCATATACATTTTATGTTATTAGAGAACATAAATGACTGGCAATTTAATATATCCTATTTGTATGTAATAATGTAACAATAATTTAACTTATCCCATTTGTGTTATAATGTAAAAATATTTGAACTTATCCTATTTGTATGTAATAATGTAACAATAATTTAACTTGTCCTATTTGTATGTAATAATGTAACAATAATTTAACTTGTCCTATTTGTATGTAATAATGTAACAATAATTTAACTTGTCCTATTTGTATGTAATAATGTAACAATAATTTAACTTGTCCTATTTGTATGTAATAATTTAACAATAATTGAACTTGTCCTAATTGTGTGTAATAATGTAACAATAATTTAACTTGTCCTATTTGTGTGTAATAATGTAACAATAATTTAACTATCCTATTTGTATGTAATAATTTAACAATAATTCAACTTGTCCTATTTGTATGTAATAATGTAACAATAATTTAACTTGTCCTATTTGTGTGTAATAATGTAACAATAATTTAACTTATCCCATTTGTGTTATAATGTAAAAATATTTGAACTTATCCTATTTGTGTAATATGTAAGAATAATTTAACTTAACCTATTTGTGTGTGATTATGTAAGAATAATTTAACTTATCCTATTTGTGTGTAATAATGTAACAATAATCTAACTTATCCTATTTGTGTGTAATAATGTAACAATAATTTAACTTATCCCATTTGTGTTATAATGTAAAAATATTTGAACTTATCCTATTTGTGTACTAATATGTAAGAATAATTTAACTTAACCTATTTGTGTGTGATAATGTAAGAATAATTTAACTGATCCTATTTGTGTGTAATAATGTAACAATAATCTAACTTATCCTATTTGTACAATAATTTAACTTATCCTATTTGTGTAATATGTAAGAATAATTTAACTTAACCTATTTGTGTGTAATAATTTAACAATAATTTAACTTATCCTATTTGTGTGTAATAATGTAACAATAATCTAACTTATCCTATTTGTACAATAATTTAACTTATCCTATTTGTGTAATAATTTAACAATAATTTAACTTATCCTATTTGTGTAGTAATGTAAGAATAACTTATCCTAACAATAATATACTTATCCTATTTGTGTGTAATAATTTAAAAATAATTCAAATTATCCATTTGTGTAATAATGTAAGAGTAATTTAACTTCTCCTATTTGTGTAATAATTTAAGAATAACTTATTCTAACAATAATTTAACTTATCCTATTTGTACAATAATTTAACAACAATTTAACTTGTCCTATTTGTGCAATAATTAAACAATAATTTAACTTGTCCATTTCAGTATTTGTGTAATAATGTAAGAGTAATTTAACTTATTCTATTTGTGTCATAATATAACAATAATTTAACTTATCCTATTTGTATGTAATAATTTAAAAATAATTTAACTTACCCTGTTTGTGTAGTAATGACGTAGAATAAAATTCTCTGACAAGTCAATATGTTTATGATTGTCCTTACCAATCATTAAAGAACTGAAAAATAAATTAAACTTTTATAGATTTTAAGAACAAAAAATTATCACTGAAACCTGTAAATGGTGCAATGTATAGCCTCGTTCTTTCTGGTCACTTCTTACAAATGACGCTGAAATTGACTATGGTACACGATTCGTGTACCAATGGTAAAATGTTTATTTTATCTTAAATATTGGATATAAGAAGTCTACTTTTTTCCGGTAAGATCACAACATTAATGTTGATTTGAATTGAATTGACAAATAATTCGTGTTTTCAATGTGTAAGACTTTGGATGGTATTGAGTTAGAGGCTTAGCTACTTTAAGTATTAAGAGAGAGACAGAGAAATGGGGTTTAACATCCACTCCTCGACACAAACAAGGTCATTTAGGGATTAACCTATGGTTTAATTTTATTTCAATAATTCGTTTGCGCGTAGGGTTCTTTAGCAATGGGAGGAAACCAGAGGACCAAGAGAAATCCAATGAGGTTGGACAGGTGAACCTACTCCTTGTCATGTACAAGCGAGGAATCAAAACCAGGCAACTTGACTCAAATGGCAGACCTTCTGATCCAACGTGCATGTATTAACCATTCAGCCACTCAAGCTCCCCTTATTTGAAGAACCCTTTCTATTAGTAAGTGGCCTAATCAGTGCAGAAAGTAGGATGTTAAACACCATTCCATTTCATTTATTAGTAAGTGCAAGGGAGGGAACTGCACCATATATACTAACAAACTAGAAACCTAGAAATCAAAAATAATAAATTTCTCTTAAATCAAGTTAATGGAATCAGAGGCTGGCTGTACAGTCCTGGTGACTGCAGTGACATGTGTGTACAAGCTTCATTTAGTTCACAAGAGTGAAATGAAAATAACTCAAAACAAGGGAGGTAATTACTAAATGCAAAAAGTGGCAGATCACCACTAAATATCATCATATCGGTAACCCACGATTTTTACTTTGTCTATATCTAGCTATTCTCTCTTTCTCCCTTTTGCATGGCAATGTTTTTAATATGCTACTTCTGTGTGTCTTAAAATTTCAGTAGTTAACCTTATATAAAATTTGGAGTAAAGAAAGACATGGTCATTTGTTGCTGTCTGTTATGCCAAACGAAAATAAAGGAAAAAGCTAAAGCTGGGCAAAGAGATCTGAATGAACATTGAAGTCAATAGGGAAATTAATGGTGGTCTGCTTCCAAAACATGAACGGGGGGGGGGGGGAATTCCCATACATGGATATTTTGAACATTTGGTGTCAGACATGTAATCAAAAACACAAATCTGTGATAAAACACAGCCACTTCAGGGATAATGCCCAACAAATCTTTAATTTTTATGTCTGACAATGTCTATGACAGTTGCCTTATTTCCAGGCTTGGTCTAATGTTATCACTGAACTTTAGCAAAAACCAAGAAAATTTTTGTTTTAATGATATACCTGTGTAGATGAATCCAGTGACTAAAGATGTCAAGTGCCATACTGAACTGGAAGAAGAGGATATAACTTGGGTAGAAATAACACAATATCCCACATAAACACATTGTAGTTATACGATCGGTCAGCTGATCCAACATGGCACCCAGTTTACTTGCTGAAAAATATAATAAATCATAAATATATTAATCAATGACAAAATGTAATTAAGGCCTTTATCTAATCTTACCTAATGCTGCTTTAATCATTGACACAATCTAATTAAGAAATGAAATGAAATGAAATGGGGTTTAACGTCCTACTGTTCTGCTCCTAAACTGGGCTAATGAAGACGGGCATACGCCATACAGTGTGCTATGAGGGAAATTTTGCCAGGGCAGCGGCACTACGGCCTGCTCTTATATCGAATTCCAACTGTCAAGGGATCTTTTACGTGCACACCAATATGTACACGGGACCTCGTTTTTTTTGTCCCATCCGAACGACTAGACAGCTGTCCTTGTCAGGCCCTCCGTCCTGCATTACTGACAAGGGGAAACCATGCCGGGAAATCTGGATAGACTTTCTCGGCCGATGCAGGGATCGAACACCCGACCTCCAGGCTAGCGAGCCAGCGTCCTACCCACTTAGCCACGTGATCCCCATCCAATTAAGGCCTGGAATTGTCAGTTCTTTATCTAATCTTACCCAATGCTGCTTCAATCAATGACACAATGTAATTAATGCCAGGAACTGTCAGCTCTTTATCTAATCTTACCTAACGCTGCTTTAATCAATGACACAATGTAATTAAGGCCTGGAATTGTCAGTTCTTTATCATATCTTACATAATGCTGCTTTAATCAATGACACAATGTAATTAAGGCCTGGAACTGTTGGTTCTCTATCTAATCTTACCTAATGCTGCTTTAATCAATGACACAATGTAATTAAGGCCTGTAAACAACGATTTTAGCTGTACATGACAATTAAAACTCTTACTTAGAATTTGTTAAACCTGTAAAGTCTACAAAGTTTCTTTCATAGAGGTCTAGAAATATTGATCTTAATTGTACTCCTGAAGTTGTACATATACCTGACAATTTTAACTTTGTGCCAGAAATGTATTAAATATATCAATAAAAATGTAGAAAACAGACATAGCCTACATTGTACATGTCTTTGTGTCAGACAAAATCATATCCACTATATGAATAGTGCCTGACAAAGCGAAGCCTGCATTTGTGCCTGACTATGTCTGGAAGAAACGTCTTATTTCCAGGCTTGCACACATTCTGGTGTACAATTATACATCAGACTTTCGACACTTCCCTGGGGGGTTGGGTGGCCGAATGGTTAACACATGCGCGTTGGATCACAAGGTCTCTAATTGGGTCAAGTGGTGTGCTTTCGATTCACTGCTTGCATAAGCCAAGGAGTAGGGTTACCTGTCCAAACCTGTGGGTTTTCTCCACATCCTCCAGTTTCATCCCACTGCTAAAAAGACTGCTATGCGCAAGTGAATTACTGAAATAAAGTTCGACCATATGCTAGTCCCGAAATGACCTAGTTTGTGTCGAATGGACGTTAAACCCCATTTCTCTCTCTATACTTCCCCCTGAACTACATCTTTGTCAGTTGAGTATCTGACACCCAGTCTTTGGAAATGGAGTCTCATGTCTCGACTAATATTTTTCAACACTAAGATACACCTCTTGTGTACTGGATTATGGATGATACTGTCCAGACAGTGTTCGGTGGATAACCCCACCCCAAAAGAGAAGTGACATGGGACTGGAGTGTATGATTTTTCAAATACTTCACTTATGAAAAACCACACTTGAAATTGAATTGTTAAAAATAAACTTACATTGGTTTAAAAGTCTGGCAAAATGGCCATCAAAAGCATCGAGAAAGCCACTTAATAAATAGAAGAATGCTGCCCTATAATGATCTGTAGGCATATAGTAGAATGATACAAATGCAAAGAAGATACGGAAATAATCTGAAATAGATAAAAATAATATTCATACAATGTATATCACTGTTTAATTAGAATCTTGGTGTCATACTAACCAGCTTTAGCTTGCACAATAAGCATTTTGGGACTAACATGCACATAGGGGTCTTCAGCAGTGGGAGGAAACCGGAGGACCCGAAGAAAACCCACGAGATTGGACCGGTGACCCTATTCCTTGTCACGTACAACCGGGGAATTGATACCACACCAGCTGACTCAATGTCAGACAGACATTATGATAGCATTGCACACAAACACAAAGTATCAATATGAATATCAATGTGACAAGGCCTAATATTAATACACGTAAATAGGCCTAAATCGAAATTGAAAGATATAACAGTATTCCAACCAACCAAAGAATTATATGTAACCAATGTTCTTTACAAAAAGTTAAAAGTGAATTACATTTCTTACTAGAATGCCCGGTCTACGAATCTCTCCCTACAATTTACATATATCCAACACTTTCTGACAACTGTCTACCATATACACTTGAAACACTGTTCAATCCATGCAAAATCCATCAGTGCTTTTATTTTAACTCATTTAAACCAAGGGTTTAAAATACTGTATATTAACTGTTCTTGTCTTTTCATTGTTGTTTGCTTATTTCTTAAATACACTTGTATGTATATTTATGGTCATTTATATTGGCCTTTTTGAGGTAAATGTGTATATATTACATAGTGTTTGTCTTAATAAAATAATGTAGGCTTGATTAAAAAAATTAACATTTGTTTTGTTTGTAAATGTATACTAGTATACATGTCATTTGTCATGTTGTTATTATTTGTACATGTTTGCATGGGGTGCAGGCTGTTTCGAATCCTGGCTGTTTTGTACTTAGTTCATTTGTACCTAACATGAACCGTTTCGTACTTCACTTCGTACATCAAATTGATTTGTACCTTTTCATATGTTGTTGAAATCAGTTGAAAGAAATTGAAATAAAGGTGAAACGATTTGATCAAAACCAACACTCATGTGGGGTACAGATGAACTAAGTACGAAACAGCCAAGTTACAAAACAACTTGCATTCGCTTAGAGTATATTGGATGCTGAATACTTAATACGCACTATATCACAAGGTCTGTCATTGAGTCAAAGTCAACTACATTGGTTTCGATTCCCCGGTTTTACGTGACAAGATGTAGGGTCGTCTGTTCAACCTCGTGGGTTTTCTCTGGGTTCTCTGGTTTCCTCCCACTGCTAAAGACCCCTACAGGCAAGCGAATTATTGAAATAAAATTGAACCATATGTTAGTTCCGAAATTACTGAGTTTTTGTCGAGTGGTCTTTAAACCCCATTTCTCTGTCACTCTCTTAATACTTAATAATGGATGTTTCGTACAATAAAATCTTCTCTAATTATTTATGGGGGGTTGGATGGCTGAATGGTTAGCGTGTGCACGTTGTATCATAAAGTCTGTCATTGAGTCAACTGGCGTGGTTTCGAATCCCTGGCGTATGTGACAAGGAGTAGGGTCGCCTGTCCAACCTCGTGGGTTTTCAGCAGGTCCTCCGGTTTCCTCCCACTGCTAAAGACCCTTATGCACAAGCGAATTATTGAAATAAAATTAAAGCATATATTAATCCCGAAATGACCTAGTTTGTGTCGAGTGGACGTTAAACTCCATTTCTCTCTCTCTCTCTCTCTAATTATTATGTAAAATATGTAATGATATCATTATCATTCTTTACTTACCAATAATATTAGGAACAAACAAAAAAATGTTCTCTGCCATGTTGACAACGTCAAGAAACAACTAATATGGTAAATTTGTAAAAATAGCGCTTTATTTTGAGGCAGACTGAGTCATAAATAAAACGCCTCGTAATTTATTTTTCGTCACGACTTCCAGATCAATAAAGACAAGATTATACCAGACAAAAATAATTTAATTGCGAGTTATCTTTCCTTGATCAGGAATACCCAGACACTCAATCGAACACGTAAAACGAACAGGCACCCTTGTCTTTAATTTTTTTTATTTTCCACTGTACTTGTGTTTAGTTGTGTTTCTATACCTGTTAAATTCTCTGTCAGAATTTCTTATACTTGTTATCGGTCAGTTATCTAAAAGATACACTCACAAACAGTGATTTACCGATCGAAGCCATTTCTCAGGACGCACCATAATTAACTTTGAAAGCGCCACCTGGCGAGCTCATCGCTTGCTTAGAGACGGTCCCCAAAAATGGATGCGTAACGAAATGGATGAATGTGGACCCGTCGAATGTGATAAATATGCATTTTTATTAGGTTCAACTTTAAGAAATTCGGACCAAGACAGTTTCTTTACAGTTTATGATTCAATTTTACCATCAAATCTTTCACCGTCACAGGTTAGTAAGACGACAAGTGACCCACTTCGTTTACCGTCAAATCGGTTTTTCATTTGTTTTTGTTGTGTTTTGATAGGACCCCAGCGTAGATTTTACTTATACGTGTGCTTATTAATTTTTTTTCTGTTATTCAGTAACCCTTCGGACAAATTTGTATACTTTGTGCACAATTTTTGTTCCTTTTTATTTGCTTTCTTTCTTAAAATTCGCGTAAATTTTTTTTTAAAAAGGCAAGCATTTCGTCAACAAATTTTTTAAATCGGGGTTTTCAGAGTTAACTCCCATGTTGAATAAGTTCCGGTTCATATTGGTAAGTTTATCCAGACAAGTTTTATATGACATTTTGAACGAATATTCGGTCTGGATAAGGAAGGACAAAAGTGACCTTGCCCTTATATTTGCATACCGTACATTTATTAATCATTACTCGACCGACACCGTAGTCAGCCGCGTTCTGTTTCATGACGTGTCTACGGCCTGTAATTGGCTGCTATTTACCTTACCCCCATAAAATCTAGTCAGTGTATTCAATCATTTCGTCATTTGAAACCCAGCCCACTGTTTTTGACAAGAAAATGGTGGATAATCTAAGGACATAAGAAGTTCAGGTAGGCCCAAAACTAAAAGCGATGGTGTAAATACAACGTCCTTCACTTTCTTACTTGATGTACCTCATTGGCTAAATATGGAGAAAACACACACACGAGCACACACCCCGAATTAGTAAGTCATGCAAAATGGACTGTCCTCTTACACAGTTAAGTGCATACCAAGTAATCATGATAGTGTGGATTCCCCAAATCCCACTGAAACCCATGTTATACAGTTATTTTCATGGAGTAAAACATTCCCCAAGCAAGTCGTTTTATTTCCAATCTGCTCATAAATAATACACAACAATCATGCAGTTGTAGCCATGCAATCAATCCTACAAACTCACAAACATCCTGATGCTTTGTCAAATACTTTGTAGTGTATGTACTATAAGATCCGGCACTGCATATTATCGTTCAAGTGTCTTAATTTATTTGTACATCATCAATGTACCATATATATAGTATAGCTGAACATCCATTTATATGATGTACATGTAGATGAATGTAGTTTTATGATATTTATTTTAATATGAAATTGGTTAGGCCCTGGAAGCTTGTTTTGCATCCTTTAATTTAGCTGCAAGAACGTTGCTAAAACAATGAGATATTTCTGATGTGGAGGGTAGTAATTAAGTAAGGCGTGTGTGTGTGAGTTGTATTTTTTGTCCGCTTCCATCAAGGGTAGTAAGGTACCGTACCTGGTATCTACCTTTATTGCAATGAGGTCTGAATATTCAAAATAACTTTCCTGGTTCATATGAATTTTTTTTTTTTAGACGGTAAAGGAATGTTGTTACTGTGTATGCATGTATTTTGAATATACAGTTCTTGTACATGTATATGTACACAGCTTACTCGTTGAGCATTCTGGTTGTATTGGTGTGGTTGGGTGTAGCTCGTTATTAAAATGTAATTTAGGGGACAGAGCATACATGTAGGGCGTAGGCTATCACCTTTCTCCCAAATAGAAAGATTGTTATGGTAGAAGTGCAGGGTAGTGTGACCCAAAATTGCATTGCAACGGCAACGCTCACATAATAATACATGTACAGTCAAACATCCTGCAAAATTAATTTTGAAGGGAAAAACCCTGTTTTTCATAAGTCAGGCTTTGAAACAGTTTTGCTTGAATAATTTTGCTTACATCCATTTTGCAGGGAAAAACCCATATTTTCATAAGTCAGCCTTTGAAACAATTTTGCGTAAATAATTTTGCGTTGATAATTATGGAATTTAGTCGTTAAAAATACACTGTTTGATGGTGATTGTAAAATACCAAACTAACATTTCACAATACAACAAATAAATGACTGATGTCACCAATAATCTGCACAAACTCTTGTCGTTCTATTGTATTTGTAAAGTATATATGAATCATTATGAATTTTAAACAAGCATTATGCAAAAGCTAAATCTGTCTATTGCAGGTCTTTCTTTAGGCCTGAAATGTTATCTAAATTATTAATTAGACATTAACTTATCCAGACCATAATCAACTCTCGATGCCATCGTTAGCCTGCAATATTTAGTGGATTTGAATACATTTTGTGGTGGATAATTTAGCGTAGAAATGGATAATCAAGACTTCGTTTATTATTGTATGTTCGAGGCTAGCCTAAAATTGAATTGCTAATATCTTGGTTCAGCTCTTTATCTAATCTAACGCCCCTTTAATTAAATGGTAGACAGACAACCATCAAATTTTCCAAGTGCCGATAGATTGAAAATATTGATACACCATATTTTGTATAGTGATGGATCAATATACATGCATTGCAATATACTGATATTGGTTTTGTTTGACAGCCCTAGTTTGTACACACACTTTACAGTTATACATGTATGTACACAGTTAAGAATCAAGCTGCAAAAATAAGTATGCATATGAACAGATTTAAAATTAACATAATTCATAGGTAGATCACCTATGACACAAGTAGCACTTTGAATCATTCCGAGTTGGACATTGTACCTCATGATAATAATGATCCTTTTGAAAAAAATAAGTAATTTGAATCCAAATATCAACATCTTATTGAAATCAAAACTTAAACAAAAGTCCCTCTATGGTGAATAATGTTTCTCTGTTAATATTTTATCTTATGGTCTATGGTGTATCTAAAGTCACCCGTTAACATTTTATGTTTTGTTTTGACCCGTTTTTGTTTGGCACATGCAACGTCAAAGATTGTCCATCCCATGCACTCGGATGAAATTATCTTTTCATTATTTTATTAATTTTATGTAAGTGATATATTAGGTAAATGAAGAATTTTTGTTATATTAATTTTGAAGAAGCCTTGTCTGAAGAGAGAATCATACATTGTAGTTAATTTAAACATTCCAGAAAAAAATAAATTAATTTTCTTTCCTTTATTAAGATTTATGAGTAGAATTTTATGGATGTTAGTTTTCACTTTGAAAAATCTTGTGAACCCTCAACGATTTGAAATAGCTCAAACATCGAGATAGAACCAGAATAATATACATGTATATATATACAAATTTAATTATTTCTGATAGTTACATTATGGATTGTTGTGGCTCTTGATCAATTTTTAGCATTTCGTAACTGTGCCCATTACTGACAAAAGATGGTTAGCACATGCACGCTGTATCATAAGGTCTGTCATTGAGTCAACTGGCGTGGTTTCGATTCCCTGGTTGTATGTTTCAAGGAGTGGGGTTGCCTGTCAACATCGTGAATTTTCTCTGGGTCCTCCGGTTTCCTCCCACTGCTAAAAACCCCTACATGCAAATGAATTATTGAAATAAAATTAAACCATGTGTTAGTCCCGAAATGACCTAGCTTGTGTTGAGTGGATGTTAATCCCTCTCTCTCTGTCTCTGGTTTGTGTTTTAACAGATAATGTTCTAAACATTAGTGGAGTTCAGTTTGGGGGTTTAACGTGTGAGCGTTGGATCATAAGGTCTGTCATTGAGTCAAGTGACGCGGTTTTGATTCCCTGAATGTACGTGACAAGGAGTAGGGTCGCCTATCCAACCGCATGGGTTTTTTCCGGGTACTCTGGTTTCCTTCCACTGCTCAATACCCCTATGCCCAAGCAAACTATTGAAATAATTTTGAACCATATGTTAGTGACAAAATGACCTAGTTTGTGTCAAGTGGACGTTAAACCCCATCTCTCTATCTAACTAATAGTTTGGTCATAATAAGCAGCTGGTGAATTGATAATGATATGCATGTATTATTAAATCAGTGTATTAAACATACCAGTGTATTAAACATATATTATTTTGATTGATTTAAAGATACAATATGATACAATATGCAAGAGCTAAATCTGCCTATCACAGGTCTTTCTTTAGGCTGAAATGTTATATAAACTATTAAGTAGGCATTTATTAACATAAGATAATAATCGACTCTCGATGGCATTGGATACTCAAGATTTAAACTAGATTAGAATGGTTCACCCTTTTAAAAATTTAATTTATAAATGGGAAAGTGAGGCTAAGTCTCAAATATACCAGTGCCCTGGTTACCATAATGCACACACCTTGTCAAAACAACAAACAGTGATAACGTGGCTCAGAATGAAGTAATTTGAATGAAATTTTCAATATTTTTGAGCTATTATAACAAGAATGGTCAGCTCTTTATCTAAATCTTACATAATGTATCTTGAAATAGTATTAAATATGTTGTAATAGTAGTAGTACATGAAGGTTGTAACTACATGTCTAACACTTGTATTTGTTATGTGTACAATCTATAAGGACATACATGACCCTACATATAATAACTACTATAACTGATAAGGAAACTAATTATAATATGTGTGATGAAAGAGGAAATTGAACAATTCGGAAATGGTGTTTCACAGGGCTTTTATTTTGTTTAAATTTATCAGTCAACAGTAATCTGTCAGTTTCTGGTATAGTAGGTTATGGTTCATTATATTTGTATGGTTTTTCTAGAAAAAATTTATCCATATATATATATATACACACACACACACATACCTTTTATCTTTTCATCGTTTACCGTGAAACAAAGTAGTGCAGCTTTACAGTTGTGGCAGTTAAAGTTTACGGTTGTGCTGGGGATCACGTGGCTAAGTGGGTAAGACGCTAGCTCGCTAGCCTGGAGGTCGGGTGTTCGATCCCTGCATTGGCCAAGAAAGTTCATCCAGATTTTCCGGCGTGGTTCTCCCTTGTCAGTGATGCAGGACGAAGGGGCTGACAAGAAAAGCTGTCTAGTCGTTCGGATGGGACGGAAAACCGAGGTCCCGTGTACACATTGGCGTGCACGTAAAAGATCCCTTGGCAGTTGGAATTCGATATAAGAGTAGGCCGTAGTGACGCTGTCTGGGCAAAATTTCCCTCATAGCACACTGTATGGCGTCTGCCGGTCTTCATTAGCCCAGGTTAGGAGCAGAACAGTAGGACGTTGAACTCCATTTCATTTCATTTCATTTACGGTTGTGCTACTATTTCTGGATATATAGATATAGATAAACACTAGGTCATAAAATTACAATTTGATTATTTTATTTGTGTTAAACTAAAGCTCATAAAAATTGATCTATGCTATAGCTACATGTACATCGGACTGTAACCGCACAGTGTTCTGAATACTGGCACATTGAATAAGACGCTAGCTCATGTACTGGTCCGATGGTAATGGGTTCGACCATGGTGTTATTAAAAAAAGATGTCACAAGATCATAATTTGTGATTGATGGTTTTTTACGGAAGAATAGACATTTTAGGTATTTTGTGATTTATTTATTATCAATGACGATTAGAATGAACAAGACCTTAGATGGGTAAATCCAATGAACTGAATGTTTATGTCATAATCTTGAAATGAACTGTCCACTTAATGGAGATTAGGGAACATGGTCTATTTAAGGCCTGCATACAACCAGTACTGGACGTTTTGTCTGTGATAATCTTTTAAGTGGTGGAACCCCCCATAGCCTATCCCTAACCCTTCCCCTGGCACAACAAACTTATTTTTCTCCTCCTCCATATTGTTACTTCAG